CTCCTGAAAGAGTCCATGTAAAAAAATATGCCTGAGGCGTGAACTCTGCTTTCTGTCATCCAGAGATAAATTGAGAAGAACTCAAGTGAATGGAAGTAGCTCACATTAAAATCACTGTAATGATAGTAGGAAAAAAAAAATCACATAACGCTATCAAAAACCTTTTTTTTTTTACTTTTTGACACACAGAAATATTTTGCTGCTTATTCCATATTTCCCATTTCTGAAATATAGACTTCACTGTAAGCAATGAGTTCAAAAAAGTGCCTTTGGGGCCTTGCTTAAGTAGGGGCTGCAGATGGCTTTTAAGGAACTATAAAATCAGAAGGGCAAATGGTAATGGCCAACTTGCAAAAGAAAGAACAGACACAAAGACCACCTAAAAGGTAGTGATGGAGGTTTGTTCTGCTGTGGATTTGTTACTATATATCTGACTCAGTGTTTCAAAAAAGGACAGCATGGTTAAGGTTGGAAGGAATCTCTGGAGGTTGACTTGTCCAACCCAGCCCTTCTCAAGCAGCACCGCCTGGACCCAGTTACCCAAGATGATATCTGGGACCATAACAAGAATAGAGACTCCACCACCTGTCTGGGCAACATGTGCCAGTGCTTGCTCACCCTCACAATGAAATTATTCCAAGCACAGAAATAAGTTCCACCCATATCTTCAAATGATCTCTCAACACAAAAATGAGACTGAAAGAGTTGAAATGATCATTGGCTACCTGAGAAGGAGCACAGCCACGAGAAATGAGAAAATTGCTGTGAGATTTTACCTGGGTACTCTCCCCAGGTCTGGACCTGATGTTGCACAGAAGTATGTAGAAATGTTCCTGAATCAGGAAAAAAACTGGGATAGTAGAGCTAATGGTGCCTGCTACATATTGTGTCTGGTCATTGGGTAAACTGATCACTTGCCAGAAAGTGATCTCTTTTCACTGTGGAAGAAAACAGATTAGGAAAACGTTTCCAAAGATTTTTAGTGATGGGAGCAGACTTTGCAGAAGTTTGCAGGTACTCAGAGAGTTTTGGGAAGCTTTTCGTGATGAAATGTTTGGGTGCTGCAGGACACCTACTGAAGTTGGCTTCCTGAAGAAGAGAGAAGGGGGACCAGAAGGGGGGTAAGCAGCTGCCTGAGGATGCGTGCCCAAGAGCACTAACTCTTGGGCTTTAACCTTTGTAGTGCCTGATGAAAAGCTTTACAGGGAAGAAAGAAATGTGCTGTGTGTTTTCTTCTGAACCACGTTGCCAGAAAGATGACTAACTGAGCTACCTGGCAACTTTTAGGAAATATGAAATGAGTTCATCTGCGATTGTAGTTTTGTGAAGCTGCATTTTCAGGGCACAGATGTTTTGCTTCCACCCATACCATCAAGCCATAAAAATCTGGATGATCAGAAGGTTATATTAAATAAAACCCAAACAAAAAAAGAAACACCCCAGACTTTATGTCTTTTTAGCCTGTGTGCTTTCCCCCTCCCTTAGTGTTGGTTTCTGAGCCTTTAAGATGTAACTGAGTCATGGTTTTCGGTTTCTCAGTAGAGTCCCCAAATTGCAAAAATCCTATTGACCTAAAAGTTTCTTCTGGAGTAGTAGGGCTTGAGATTCTCAAGTGATGCCCTGATTCCAGACATGGGGAATAAATGGAGTACTGAATGGGCTAAACGAAATCCTGTCATACAGGTATGCAGCACTCCTTGTACACATGCATTTGCATGCCCTTTTCCTTGCACATGACTGTTACCAAGTACATGGAGGTGGCCATGATAAACCCACAAATTATAGGGGGGTTTGTTTGTTTGTTTGTTTGTGGCTTTGTTTGTTTGTTATTTGAAAGATCCCTAAATAGTACTTGAGTTAGCTGTAAGGTCTTCAGAAGTTCTTAGTGTCTCTTCAAAAAGAGAAATCCCATTTTTTAAAATTAAGCTGAGGTTTAGTTAGGATTTGAAGATGTAATCTAGGTATCCAGTGTGGCAATAGTGAATAAGTTCCTGATTCTTTTTAATGGCTTTGTAACAGTAATTGTGAACCATGCTTTGACTACAGTAGATCGTAATGTATGCCAGTAAATAATCTTGACAAAATTCACTTCCTTACATGCATGAACACAATTTTATATATTGTACTGGCTGCTACTGGCAATATCAGCTAAAAAATCTCAGAAGAGTTAATAATTTAGGACTCACATGAGATGAATTCACTGTATCTGCTGTATTACTGTAATTATATACTGTGTAGTATATTGACACTACACTGCATCTTACTCAAAATTACATATTAATTTCTTCATTTTTAAGCAGATTGACCTGCAAATTCATAAACTAATGTAACAGATTTCCCTGGAATAACCACAAGGTCTCTGCTTCCTTACAGAAAATGCATAATACTGTTACAGGGAACTGTAAAGCTTGGAAGGTAGAGCTTGCGCTGACTTCCTCTTCCATCAGGGGAGCAGACCCAAACCTTTGCAGAGATATCTTTAAAATAGTCTATATTTCTTTTGACTAGTGATTTTTAGTGTTTGAGGGAGGCCTGCAGGTTGGCGTGCCTGAAGAAATTTGTTTCTGTGGTACCCTATTTCTCACTTGACAGCCTTCCCTCTGCCTTTGCATCCTTATTAACTGAGCTGGTCATGCTCTTTGCAGCCTCACTGGTAACAGTGACCCAGAGCTGCAGTGACAACTGGGAGGAGAGGACCTTCTCATGGTGCTGATAATACCCCGGTGTTTCGTAGTGCTCTGCACATTCTCAGAATCTCTCTGCCCAAGCAAATTTCTTTTCACAACCGAAGACTAATCACCTACTGGGCTTGGAGATTAATTTTATTAACAGGCACGTAATGAATCATTAGCTTTGACTTGTGGCTTGATCTCATGCTACTCCTATTCTCTTATGGCAAGTGGAAACATTTTATAATTAGCAAATGAAGTGAAAATGGGATTTAATAATGAATTATGAAGTATGAAAATCATGTTGTTGTTTAAATAAGTTAATAGTTGGAGGAGGCGTTTTCTTCAAATTGTTTTTTCAAGCTTTTTACTCTCTAGTTTTTGATTAATTTTTTCTCAGCATTTTAAAATCTCATTTGTTTATTATGCTTGGTATATAGATTATTAGTTGCTCAGCAGATAATTTACACCTCTAAATTTTACATTGATAGTACAATTGCAAAAATTTTGTTTGTGCTTTAGGATGTAAAACCAGAAACTAACAATCCTCAGATAGTTCTGTCAAAGCAGAATATTTGAGTGAGTGAATCTTCATTTCTGGCTGTGCAGGCATAGTGCTCATTAATGGGAGCAAAGGGAGAGCAACCCACCTAGCAATCCATTAATGGGGCTTTTTAGCCTTTCTGTTTATAAGGAAACATAATGAATGGCCCATTAGGTTAGAAAATTATGCAGAGAGCCATGGTCCTCTGGGTTTTCCCAAAAGAAGGCTAGTAGGGCATCCAGAGAGTCTGCTGACTTGGGCCCTATATGTTAGTCCTAGCAGCTACGGATGGTGGACAGAGGTTTATTGAATTGTCAAACTGTGTGGAAATGGGGACCGTATGTTTTGTCATTTTGTCACAAAAACGCAAATCGTGAGCAGAAGTGGGAATCCTCTAAATTAATAGAGAAAAAGAGGCAGGATAGCTGGTGTCTGTTAATATTTAATTTCTTACCGTTTATTACAAATGTTTTCTGCACATCTGACAATGATTTGATATGGACTGCAATTATGGCATGAATATGTGCTCTATTTTAATTTGAAATCCATAATGCTGTAACAACAAAGTAGTGGCTGATTTACACATCTGGTTTAATTTTCTGTTGTGAAATAAGATGAGGCTGAGGTTTTTGTTTTAAAGTTTGTAGAGGACTTCTATTTACAAAATCACTGACTTTTTTAAATTCTACCTTTTGATTTCCTTCCCATTGCTCCGTTAATGCCAGTGAAAGCTTGTTGTTCTGTTTGTGTAGGTCTCTAGACATGAGCTCTTCCTACCACTACTGATGTTGGCAGCTCTTTCAGCATGTTGCATAAGGCTTGTGTTCCTTGATAGATGTATTATTGTTTTTAAAACAGTTTGTGCATTAGCAACCCCTCAGTTGGGTGATAGCAATGTATGAATCTTAGCTCAGTACGTGAGGCCATTGGTCATCCTATCAATGTTGGTTGAACAGAAAACATTACAGGTTTGGCTCTGGGAGTGGTGCAGGCCAGAATGTTATTTATTGACAGCTACGAGGCATTGGCAGTGACCAGCTCAGTCGCCAAAGTTGCTTCTTAAAATTCTCTTTCTGCACAGGGTGAGGGGATATATGATTCTGTTTTTTGTACAAGGTGAGAACATGGAACATCATCATACCACCTTACAAACCTGAAAATGTTGAGCTTTTAACCAGTGGGGCTTGGCTTTTAAAATAAATGAAAAAATGTCTGTATGAATTTAAATCAGTTAACTGATTGATACTCTTATGATTGTTCTTGAGAATTTTTCTCACATAATGCTGATGAGGTAAAATTTAGTTTAAGCAAAACATCACCTGTCCCTCCCTTTACTGATTTTGCTTATTAGGAGTGAGGAAACTCTTGAGTGTTTTGTTTTTTAAAATTTCTGCCATTTTTTTCCTTACTTATAAAGATGGACAGGCTTCACTAAGTGGCAGTGTTGCCGGAGGTCCAAGCTACTGAAGGAAGCAAATTAACATTCAGTATGGTAATTTGTTTTCCCTGTCCTTCAGTCACAGTGAGGAGAGTCTAAATATTTCAGTGACTGAGACTTTGGATTCCCATTCCTTGCTACACAACAACAACAAAAGCTATTTATAGCAATAACAGTTAGCAGCGATACAGCAGCCTCAGACAGCTATGGGCAGCATCTCATCATGACTGCAAATGTTAACTGCTTTTGCACTGAATGCCTCTGTGAAAACAAAGAGCACTGAGAAATAAAGATCAAAGTAAAACCAAAAGAAAGATTTTTTTATTGCTATGTTTTACTTTGCTGGCAGACCAGAGCAAAGGTTTTCTGAACATTTAAAAGATGAAAAAGGTGAAGAATCCCAGAAGCGATTTATCTTGAAGCGAGATAACTCTAGTATTGATAAAGAAGACAATCAGGTTGGTTCTCGGTTCGAGAGTTGCTGAAATTTGTTCTGTTTTTGAAGGTGGGCTGACTGATGTTATTGTTGTTCTTTTGTTGTTGCTCTTCTCCTCCCCTGCCCTCCTGCCCCCTCCCTGCCTCCTTTGGCATACGTACCACCATGGGTGGCATCAAGCCCCAGCGTGGCCGCTTCAGCCGCTTCAGTGTGGGGTTGCATGGGTGGTTTGCTTGGCGCAGGACTTGCTGCATGCCACGGGAGGGGGAATGCCGGTGGCTCTGGGCTGCGTGGAAGGCTGTGTGAGTCGCATTTCTCAATGTCTTGCCTAACTATGGCAGTTGTTACACTCCCTATAGCTCCCTCCTTCCACTGTACCCACTCAGAGTTGGATTTTAGTATGGACCAATGATAAACTGATGTAACCCATAAAAGAGGAGAGGGAAAACAAACAAACAAACAAAAAGTCCCAAATAAACATGTGATGGTGAGGCTAGGTTGATTTTTTTTTTAAACCTTCCTAAATTATGTTTTGATCAAAAATAAATCAGGTTCATCTTTTACTTCCCTTACTCCTCCAGTGCCTTCACCACCTTTTACTGTCTGTGTAACTTACTTGCTTGTGCATGTACTGTGGCAGACGTTCCCCCTCTGTGTTGCCTGTGCCATAACACTACCTTACCTTAGGTGAGCCTGATGAATAAGGGAGTGGCAGGGAAATGTGTGTGTTTGTGCTGCCTTTAATAGCGGGTGTTGTGCTGTTTCAATCCAGTGCAAGCTGTGTATGTGGAATATATTAACAAAAAAATAATCTGAAAGGGTTTTGACATGATTTGCTTTTATGAGAAAATTATCACAGGTAAGAAGACAGCATATGCTTTCTTTGCTTAGGTTATATTTGTGGAGGGAACTACCAATGAGTGTCTTGTTGCCACTTTCCTTCATGTTTTCAGTAAAGGACTGATTTTTCCCTTCCTTTTTTCCTTTTTGCACCTTCTTTTTCCTTGACTTCAGTTTACATAGCAGCCTTGCCAGCTGTGCTGCATACAAGCTGGTTTTGAAAACAAACCCCAAGCAATTTCAGGGTGTGGTGAACATGGGGATCAGCCAAAGAAAAGCAGCATGACCGATCTGACCAAGTGATGGTGTGCAGGGGGAGAAGGAGCAGTACTCGAAACCCAATTGCCAATGAAGCATTTCCTGGCAGGGGGTCATTTTCTCTTCTTCCTACCATGGCACAGCCATTGCCCTCACTGTGGTTTACCAAGAGGCACAAATGGCCCTTCTTTACCCAGCAAAACTGAAGTAGAGGATTCCTTACAGTGTGGAAATGGTTGAAACTGTCATCCTCAATGTCTGGGACTTCTCCTTGTACACACAGACTTTGTGGGTTTCTTCTAGGGTTTGCAGTTTAGCTCTTGCAGCCTAGTTACCCTCTTTTCTTCCTTGATTTTGTAGGTGGCACACCACTTCTTGCCCTCCTGCTCCTCACAGCTGGTAGGAGAATCCAGAAATGTTAGCAGCTGAGAACAATGGCACTTAGACTTGGGGTGCGAACACTCGATTTTAGGATGGCAGGTCCCCAAAAGCTGTGCAGAAAGCCTCATTTTGGCCACCTGCTCTACAAATCCATATGCAGTATCTTAACGGGAAATCCTCAAGTGCCCAGTCTTGCAGGGTGCTTCGTGCAGGAGTGACAGCTATCATTTTTGTGCTTCATTTGTTTAAGTGAACATTTATTATTCTCAGATGACAGTTACTTAATGGCAGTTTTTAACAGCTCAACTTATATAATCCTCCTGGTTTTCTTTCTGCTCAGCAAAACAGAATTCTTCCATTTAGAGATGACAGACGAAGTAAATCAATTGAAGAGAGAGAAGAGGAGTATCAGAGAGTGAGGGAGAGAATATTTGCACAAGATGTGAGTAGTTGTTTTAATTGCCTCTTTAGTGCCATACCTTCGCCCGGTAGTCAGACAGTCTTGCCCCCCTCCTACAACAACACTGCAGTTGGGCTTGCCTTGTGGAGCTGAAGGTGACAGGGAAAGCAGATTAGTGCAGGGGAATTTAAAAGGTGTGGAGATCGGCTTCTGGAGAATGAGGTGATGAGAGTTGCAGGGAGAAGGGTAGAGGAGGTATCAGGCCCAGCATGTTGTCTGGGGAGTGCTTATCCTGTTTCTTTGAATGTTCATTTTGTCTAGGTTTACTTCTTGTTTCCTTCTCTTTTGCTAACCAAAGAGCAGTGATTTAAATGGACACTCCCAATAATTTCAAATAGCGTGTTATTTTATATTTCATTTGAAATAAAGTGTCCTTTCACAAAGCCTCCTTATGGTTTTTGTTTCTTCAGACCAGTGCTGTAGGCCAAGACACTGAGAACAAAGAAAAGGCAGAGTTTAAACATGAAGTTGCACTGTTTTTTTGAAATGACTGATTAAAGAACTGTATTTCTGCCATCAGAAAATTGGTCACGCTGTTGATGATTATATTCTGAAAGGAATAAAATGAAACAGACGTCTTAATTCTTGCCCTTAGAAAAAAATCAGAACTTGCAAAGCTAGGTAGTTTTCTAGAGGAAAACATTTAAACGTGAAACATCTGTGAGCAATACCTGATGTTCCTGAAAAAAAGAAGAAAATCATAATTTGCTATAATACTGTAATTTTTTTATCTCACATCTCGGTGGCAGTTCTGCCACTTAGAAATATGGGAATAAACGCAATTAAAACTGTTTTTGAAAATCATATTTGGCAGTGTCCTTTTAAATTAAAACTGTTCATATGTTGCAGGGCTAATAGTATTTATTATTTGGATTTGGAATTGCACACATCCATGTTATTTTTCTTTAGCAAAATACACTGTATATTTTTAAGGTGTGTGTTTTGTCACTTGTGTTAAGTAATTTTGCTTTTTAGTAAATAGCTAGCTACATCTGTTTTTAGCTTCACTTCTTATTTCTTGACCGAGACAATTCCAGTGAAAGCAGAGGCCCATCAGTTTATGTTTTGCTTTCAGCATGTGGATCTGTCAAAGTCTATATATGGTATAGACTTACCAAGTTATTAAAAAGCTGCAAAAGCTTCTTTGCAACCTGTTTCTTCTATGAAATTTTGGGAGTTTGACATATTAAAAAGGAGCTTTTGCAAAACCAAAAAATCTTTGTGCTTTGAAGCAGAATTCAGATGAAACAAAATGTTAAAAAAATATGGACAGACATTGCCAAAATAGTGCTGTTTCTATCACAAGCAGCATCTAGAAATGCCAGGCCGAGAAACAGAGGTGTCTGGAAAAGTGTTGTGAAGCGGCTCCACAATATATCGCTGCTGTTGTCTTTAGATATTTGAGTTTTAAAAACAGGCAAGCAGTGAGCATTTTAATTGCCCACAGCAGTAGATCGTTGTGGTCCATTGGGTTAGCGTCTTCGAGTGGCAGGACCTAAGTAACGGTGTGGTTTGTGGCAGGCATTTTAAATGGATTGGGAGTGAGCATTTTTAAAGATGAGCAATGTTAGATATCTCTCCCTCTCTCTCTCATATCCACTCATTTGCTCTCTCTCTCTGCAATTGCAGGTGTTAGTGAGCATCATAGTGCAGTTAATTTCAGCAAGCTGTACAATTAATATTATCAGGAATATATTTCTTAGCTAAGCTTTTTTGACTGGTGCACTCCTTACAGACACAAGGTGTTTTTAGGATGATGCCTTACGGATACAAGGTGTTTTAGGATGATGTCAGTGGTTGTGGTGGTGGACAATGTTTTTTTCCCCAATTTTAGTAAAGAGAGAAATGGCTTCCTATTATAGATAGTCATTTACTGCACATATGACTTTGAAGTTTTAATGCCCTCTGCAATCATTAATTAATCCAGTTCTCCCCAGGTTTATGTGAGGTAGATAGCTAAGCCTTGTCACCCTGTAAATTACAGACATAGAAAGAGAGTCAGGAAAGGATTAATCAAGTGGTATTTTTATTGCCTCTATACTGTTTTCACTGCTGTAGTCAAGCCTTTATCAGTGCCTTGCTTATGAACCTTAGCAAATGGATTATAGATACTTCACTTTTAATTGGAGTATGCACGAAGAGAGCTTGCATGAAGTCTCCAAAGAGCAGCCATGAAGGTCTAGATTACTGCCATAACTTGTTGCATCAGACACCCCCTCTCTAAACATGTTTGAGGTACCCAAAACTCTTTAGATAACATATCAGCCCAAGAATCAGAACTTTGAACAAAATTTAGGAGGAAAAGGCAGTCTGGTACAGGGGCAAAAAATTCTATGCATGTTTCAAATGCTGTGAAAAATGTCTTAACCTGGACCCCACATACCAACAAAGCTGACTTGTCCTTCCTTTGATCTTGCAGTACTCTCATGCACCAGCTCTCTTCATTTCCAAGTGGGAAGGTTTTAGCAAAATAAATATGTTCGTGAGTAATGCCATCATTGTGATAGTCCTTATGATGATTAGTCTGATATTAGTCAGTTTAAATTATACTTTCTGGCAAGTTTTCCATCTGCCCTGTTGGCTATCATAAATTTTGACAAGGAGAGCTGGAGGTTTTAATGAATCCTGTCATAGCAAGGAGTCATAGCAAGTGGCAGGAATTGAGAAGCATGTTAATGTGATACCTTAATAAAAGGATAGGTGAAGAAATAAATAGTTAATAAATCGTTCCAGCTCACTGAAATAAGAAATATAAAGTGTGCCTCAAATTTTTCAGGCTGCTAAGAGTAAGACAGAGCTGCCTGAACTCTGTTATGCTCAAAGCTATTTTCAAGGTTACTTTTTAACTGCAAAGCCTACAACTTTTCTTTTTAAAACATGTTTTTATTGGAAACTTAGTTTTACAACAATTTATGAACTTTACAGCTAAGTGCACTGGAGCAGAGGACCTGGAGTATCTGGATCTTGCAGAGAGATTTCTTGTCTGAACTGCTTTAGTTGCCTTTAGGAAGTTGTAAAGTAATTGTCCAAGAAAGACAAAGAACAACTTAAAGGAGTAAAAAAATTATGTCATGGTATTTCCATGTGTGTAGATTTAACAGAGAATCTCAAATGAGGGCATGAATGATACACGATGTTTGGCTTTTAAGCCTGCAGAAAATTGATTTTAAAGACTAGCAATCAAATTACATGGGGGAAATTTCATTCTTCAAGGTTAACGCAGTGTATAACCTCATGAGCCAGAATCATGCTAGGAACACTCAGTGTTCATAAATGTATTCTCTGAGAATCATTGTGTATTCACTGAAAAATGTAGATGTTTTCTTACTTACACAAATGGTAGAATTGCCCATGGTACACATGGAATTTATTAAAGGAAATACACCATGCTTTTTATTTTTTGTTGTTAATTGTAATGGCTATTTTTGACTAAGGAGTGTATTCTAAAGAACCAGATCCTTTAGGTAAAGTAAGTCATGATTCCTCTACTTAAGAAAACAGTGAGAATTTTTATCACAGAAAAAACCAAAAGAAATACTTGAAGAGGTGGCTTCAGCCTGCCCTATCCTTGTAGTGTGAAAAGATTAGGATGAAGAAGGCATAAAATTAATAAAAACAAATCAAAGGCACAACTGGTTTTGGCTACCATAAGCCTGTAGGTACTAAAACTCCTGTACTGCCGTACAGAGCCTTTGTTTATGGCTGCAGATCAAGTAATAAGTATTAGTTGGAAGCCTGAGATTTATCACATCTTGTTAACTGACAAGAAAATTATTACCTGATGGTATCCACTGCAGGATATTGCTGCATGTTAATAGTTATCTGTGTTGGCTAATGTAATTAAAAACATGAGCAGCAACACCCCGTATACCTAATGCACTGGCAGAGCTGATGCACATTTTTCAGTTGAGACTTTAAAGGGTTCTTGGAAATTGGAAAAGTGAAATACTTATTTCATAAATGACAATTAGTCATACAGAGCACCCTAATGGAAATCTTGCATGCAGAGGTCTCCAAGGAGGCTAATTTCTAGGTAATCTTACATAACTTTTTTCTTTTGTAGGTTTGTTGTCAGTGTGTTTGATGGGTATACAAAAGCCAAATGTTTTAAGGATTTTTTTTTTTACAACAGCTATGCTGTGTATTTCAGCTTTCCTGGTGCTTTAAATTGAGCATTATTGATACTATAGATCTGGAAAGTGAGTCCTGACCTTGTAGTAACTCAATTGCTATCCAGATCTGCTTAACCATCTAGTTTTTAGCAGTAAGAATAACGTAATAAAAAAGTGCCTGTCTTCTCTGCTTCTCAGCCTCACACCTGTATACTGAAAAATAGTTTCCAGGGACTGTGTAGCCCTTTGCCAGCATCGTCAACCAGGAAGACAAATGGAGTTATTATGGACTCTGTCCTTAAGTCTACAATGCAGTTGATAGCAGTTCCCATCAAGACACTGAAAAGGAAGCAGACCTTTCCATTTGCTTGATAAAATATAAATCCCAAATATTTATTCTGATTTACACTGCAGTCTCTTTAAAAACTTCAAAAAAATTAAATTAATCTAGACAGGCACATGCCCCTTTGCTTTTGTAACTTTGTGGGTATACAGACCAGTACTCTAAGCAAAGGTTTTTCTGTGAGAGTAGTTGTAATGCTGCTTTGGAATCTGTCTGCAGTGAAGTCAATGCACAGATGCCCATCGTGGCACCTCAAGATGAAGACATGTCCCCGTAGTTGGTGTTGTACAAGCCCATGGGTGATTTCACTATGCTTTTGTGGGTAGTTAGACTATGCTGAAATCTGCACAGCCACATTCGTTAATGAAACCTGTTGAGTAAGGTACATAAAACAAGAGAAGATGCAATGTTGTAGTTGTACGAAGGATCCCAGTGATTTTATATGAAACAGTTTTTGTCTTCTCTCAGCCTGGGGTGAAACTTTAGGTCTACTGTAGCTGGTGGATTTTGGTCCCTGACCGTGGAGAACTTGCTCCTGGTGCCCTGAGGCTTTGTGCTAAGGAGAGATGCACTTGCCACTGATGCAGCCGAGAGCCTTGCAAGTTTAGCAGGAGTGCAGGGTGGAAGCTTGCCTGGGAAGCCCACAGCGCTGTCAGATGTTCTCTAATGTGGATTCTGGGTGGGTGAATTACAGCTTTAATGAGAAATTGCATTGCCGTCTCAGGGATGAATTCCTTGCTTTTGTAAGTTGGCTGTGGTACCAATGGGAAACTTTGTCCAGGCATCTGCTGGAGCACTAAGAATGAGCAGGGTGTTGCTTCTAGTGTTGGCCAGCACTCTTTTGAGTAGGTCTTTTAGCTCACCCTTGTCAAAACAAACATCCAAAATCTGTGCATATCCCATACCATTAAAATTTGACACTGCTAATGATGGCATTTCATTATTCTTTGAGCTGAATCCCATTGTTACAGAAGTAATGGGCATGATCTCTGATACCCTCCTCCCTTTGCCTGCCTTTTGTTTAAATTCAGTGCAAGCACTGACTATTCTTTCTTCTGTACCTCATCGAGATATAATCCAGTGACAGCTATGAGGCATTTTGTCTAGTGAACATGAAATAGGAGGGAAATGAAAAAATCAAAGAGGGAGAATTATTCATGGAAAATTGAGTACAGCTTCATTTCTCTGCATAAAAATTAAGTAATGCTAAAAGAATTATACACTTGCCCATAGGATTTACTTATTCTGAGCCCTTCACCTTTTTTGGAGTCTAAGTCTTCCAGCAGGGAACCTTTTTGTGATAGACTGTGATTGGTGTTAATATTATTATTAAGAAGGTTATTATCATTTTATATCTCAGTGTTCCCTCTCCAACTGTAAAATGCAAAATCACACACTATTTCTAAGAACTGCAGTAGCTTCTCTCCCTTTGAAGAACTTTGTCAATTCTGCATGTTTTCCTTCCATTTGGCCTTTCTATCTGCAGCTCCGTGCTATTCTGCAGTCTTACTTTGACGTGGTAGGGCAGACCAGTGGAACCTTATATTTTACAGGAAAAATGAGTTTTCCCTTCAACTTGCCAGTATTTTGCACATACTGCCTTCTTCAAATCCCACAACTGAGAAGTTTCAGTTTGTTTCCAAACTGAGACCCCTCTTTGGCAATGTGTTGTAATGCATGGAATTTATTTTACTGGCCTGACCTTATTCTTGACCTTTTCTCCCTTCTTGTCTTCTGCAAATGCAAATGATGCATGAATTGAAATCCCCTTAAGCCTGAGCAGAGGAGGTAATTCTAAAATCAAGAAGAAATTGGAACAGCAGAGCATATCTAGAACGTCTGATACAATGCCTTTTTTATTTTTCAGTCAGTTTGCTCCCAGGAAAACCTTTTTGTGGAAAACAGGTAAAAAATAGCTTGTGTGTGTGTGTGTGTGTTAAATTTAGCTGTTTCTCTTATTATTTTATCTATCTATAGTTCTATAGTCGTTTATCCTAATGTGAAGAATGTTGAGCAAATTTTTAATCCATATTATCTGAAGTGGTTTTATGCTTTAAGAGGGAGTAAAAGCGATTGCCTTGCAATATGATATCTGAGCAGATAAGGTATTACTATTGCTTCTTTCCTGAGGCTTTGCATTTCAGTTTAAAAAACAGATTGTGGGAAAGAAGGGGAGCCCACCTAAGCTTTCATTTCAAATGACTGTTCTGTCTCTGGGGTGCCTTTAGAATTTAACTTATTGATCTTTAAAAAGCACTCTAGCAGTGGCTGGATGATGGTATTTATGAAACATCGGACTTGTGTTTCTGTTGTTTAACCTGCTCTCCTGTGGGGCTGAGCAGCAATGCTGACATTACTTGTTGCTTTTGAAGGCTCTCAAGTTCCCCAAGCTGAATCTGCTTTACTGCTGCAGTGTAGTAATGAGACGGTGATATCTGAGCCCACTGTTACTTAGCATTACTGTGTGATAGTTCTTGTGAATGTTATTTTTATTATGTTAAATCCACTTAAAGGGAAGAATAAACTGTTTTTAAGAATCTACGAAGTATGAAGTGTTGACTCCATAACAGCCATAAGTTGCTTAACTGTGTTAAAAATCTTAAAAACTGTGCTGCCATAAGGATTTTAACCAAAACTGGGAATTTCACTGGTGAGTCTTTGGGCAGTGCTGGCCTGAGTCTGTCTGTGAAGGTTTTAGAACTCTTTACCACTCCCTTGAAGAAGGGGAGGCTATCTGTCATAGTATTTTGTTCTCTGTCCATCCTTACACCTGTCAGATGTTCCCATAAAAATTGACTCCACAGTAATGGTACAAACCAGCTTTTCCGATGGACAGTGGAATGAGGGAGGGCTCTCAGGAGATCATAGGCACTGTTATCTAACCACCTTATATTCTGAGAGCCAAGGATATTTTCTCAGCTGATTCTTCTGTGTTGTGGCTATGGAGATATGTTTTATGAAAAAAAATAAAAATTGCAACAGAGGAACCCAAAAAGCAAAAAAACTGATGCTACCATAAACCTATTTTTCCCCTCTCAGGAAAGATTTGGACAACAGACATGACACAGTTGTTCACATTTCCAGGTCAGCATGAAAAGCCCCTGTGGTGCTGAGGATAGGGTGGGTACCTATATGGGATAAACCATGAACTCCATAGCCAGGCCTCCCCTGTGTAGGAGAATGTGGCCAGTTTTGGTATTTACACGTGGTTTGCTGTGCTCAAACCCATGAGCTGACTGACCTGCTTTCTTGGTGTGAGGATGCATACCCAAGTGGAGACCAGTAAAAGGCCAGGTTGCAAATTGTACTGCCTGAACTGTTGCTGTCCTGAGGGAGGCTTCAGCTGCGTTCCTCAGAACACTGCTTTTTCTTGCTTCATGCCCTACAGCCTTTGATCAGGTGAAGCACTTGAACCTGTACTTGGCTCCGCACACATGAGCAATCCTGTTGATTTGCTGTGTTGAAAGTTAGGTATGGGTTTAAGTGCTTTGCCTTTCTTTTTTGTCAGAGAACCTGAGCATTTCTCTGAGCTGCAGAGACTTCCAAGCGACTTAGCAAGTACTTAAAATCACATTTGCTGGCTTGCATTTTTATGTTCTTATTAAGTGATATTTTTATGAATTTTCCTTTGGATGTGGATATATGGTTCCTTGGCTTCTGAGAATTACCTTGCTTGCTAACAGGAAATGCTAAATGGCCTTCAGCCTCCCTGGCTGATGTTTCTTACGTTCAGTTGACTGTGCTCAGTTATGGGCGAGGGAGGAGGGGGAAATTTTAGCCTTGTTTTTTTAAACTGAATCTAGCACAAGTTGGAAGATGTTTCTAGAAATCTAATATATGTTTTTCAGATCAGATAAATTTGAATTACCATGTTTGTTAGCATAATCTTTTTTTTCATTTTTCAGTAGGCTGTTGGAAGACAGTAGCATATGCAATGATACCCATAAGAAAAGACAGCTGTTTAGGTTTGTATGAATTTATTTAATATTCATTTCCCAGTAACTTTCACTTGTGATTCTATCTGTGTCCTTGCCAAGGGAAACCTTGACAGGTCTGGATATGTCATTTTTCTGGTTGGAAAGGAACATGGAGAATGCGTTCTATCTCACTCATCCCAGGCTCTCTGAATGCAAAGGTAACAAGAGGTCCCTTTCCTTTGGTTTTATGGATCACTGTCTCAGGAACCATAGGAGATTTCCAGGTGCCCAGCTGCTCAGACTGCCGCAATTTGGAAGTGACTGTAACTGGTGGAATCTCATTTTTGCTGGAGTGTATACAACAGGCACGTTTCATAGACTAGTGCCCAGACTGACCTTTTTTCCTTTTATTGGTTTATTAAAAGCTGAAATAATAGTACATTGAGGTGAAACTGATTGAAGTTCCATTAGCCAAAGCAGCTATATTTTGAAACTTTTTCTCTGTGAACTTTGTCTTCCCAGCTCCAATTCCTTCTACCCAGAGAACATTCAGATGTATCCTATATCCCAAATAGCATCCCAAGCCACAGGATATCAATAAGGGTTAGTCCCTATTTTCATGGAGGACATTTTTACCACTTGACACACTGGATCAGTAGAAGACCCAGTCTGGTTGTGGCAGTGTTCTTCTGTGGATCTTAGAAAGATTGTCTTCCCCCATCATGAGCTCTCACAGATTCAGTTCAGATCAACCAGAGTTGAGCATGCCAAGTTGCTTTAGACGTCAGTCAACTGCCACAAGTCTTAAGCAGAGCAGGCAGAGGGAATGTGTGCTTTCAGAAGCATGTCCTTCATCCACTAAGGGACGGGGAGAGCTCTACAGAAATAGGGTGATCACTAGATGTCTTTATGCATTGGGGTTTTCATATGTAGGAGCGACAGCTTGTGTCACTTCAAACCTATATTTATATTTATTTATAATACATAAATTTTCACTATGAGAAGAAAAGGAATATTTGATGTACAGTTGCTAACCCTGCATGTTATCACAGCAGCCACAGAGGAGATGGAGAGATTGGACCAAATAAGGAACAGTGCTGGAGCATCTGCTTCTGCATCCCATGACCACAGGCAGCAGGCAAAAAAACATTTCTTCTTTCTTTGGGTTAGGCTTGACGATCTGAGAGTCAGGGAGCAGGCATGCAGGAGTAAGGAGGCATCTACACAGAGACACTCTTAATGAGTAATATCTGTTTGGGTTTGGGAAACTAAAAGAAATTTTGTGTAACCAAAAACCACAGAATACAAAAGCATTCCGTTTCTCTTCCTCTTTTCCACTAGAATATAAATATAAGAGACTTGTTAATTTCTGAGCACAAGAGTACAAAAGAGTCTTTAAATAATATACTTTGGTTTTTTTCTTTCCAATTAAATCTTTAGATGATTTATTTTAAAAATATTTTTTGTTTTTTTGTGTTGTTACTTCTGTGCTGTTTCTCTTCATGACTTCCCACAGTCTGGATCTAGCAAAGGTCTACATGTTTATACTGCTGATCACATCTGTGAGAGGTTTGGTTCACAGGCAAGGAGTGCAAGAGCCTGATCCTACCTTTGACCCGCTGCTCCTTCATGTCCCAAGTGACACAGCCCAGCAGGTTCTCCAAATAAAAAGCAGGAGCTATGTTCACAGGGACAAAGGGGACAAAAAAAAATAGATACCGTCCCATCGTTTTTGATTTGTAGAAAGAGCTTTGAGCCTGTAAGTTATCATACTGTAAAATAAGACAGAGGGGTGGAAAATATCTTCTAAAAGACTTCCAAAGACAGTGTTATGAGCATCACTTGGGATAACAGTCATGGTGCACTAAGCTGTTATAGCATTCTGGTTTTGTCATTTTAGCAGTACAGTGTAAAAGCTCACCATAAATAAACCAAATTCTCCTCCAAATTCTGGTCACAGTTTAGTGTATTACACTGGGTGCTCTGCAACTGTTCGAGGACAGACAGCCTCTGCCCAGAGATTCTCACAACTGTATGCAGAGGGGACATAAACCAACTCATGCATCTCTAGGTGGAGCATTAGCAGTGAAGAGTTCGGGGCCACATTGAGAGGACACATGTTTAGGGAAGCTTTGGATGACTTCACAAAACTGATAATGACTGGGAGCAAGGTGCAATAAAAATAAGGAGGATGGGTATGAAGACAAAGGTAGAGGGCAGGTGAAGTTGGTGAGAAAAACATCACAGGAGATGCACAGAAAAGTGAGAAGTAGTGAGGGCTTTGCTGAGGGAAGAGAACCCTCAACAGACAACAGAAATGCTACATCAGTGCTGCCTGATAGTGCTATGTCAACCACATCTGGTGAAGTGCTCTCAGGGAATGTGCAGAAGGGGAACGGTGGTAAGTGCTGTGCATATAAAAAAGGTATAGCGGTGTTTACATGCTGAAGACAGATGAGTATGGGGGTCAAATCCCCGGTTTCAAACGTGATTTCATAAATGCAGAGTATTTCCTTTTTCTTTATTTAGGTCGCTGCAGGGTACCCAACGATAAACTCTGCTGTGACATGGTTTTATTTGTGTATAAGTCTTTGTTTCCTGATGTCTGTAGGGGTAATAGAGACAGCATCGGGAAGACATCTGGCAGTCGACAGAGCAGTACAGAGAATGAATTAAAGTGGACAGACCACCAGAGGCCATGGAGCAGCACAGACTCGGACAGCTCAAATCGAAATTTGAAGCCAGCCATAACAAAGACAGCCAGCTTTGGTGGGATAACCGTCCTGACAAGAGGAGATAGCTCATCAAGTAACAGAAGTACCGGCAAACTGTCTAAAACAGGTAGCTAGTACTGTATTGGGTTCACAGTGCTTCCTGTTATGTGATAATAAATGGCTGTACTGGTACTTGTCTGAGTACAGTATATCACAGAATGGTTTGGGTTGGAAGGGACCTTCAGAGAGCATGTAGTCTCACCCCTATGGTTGAAGTAGGTCGTGAAATACATAAACAACTGTATTTCCTGTACATGGGAGATGTGTATGTCCATCTATAGATGCTAGTATCTGGGAACCTGGTATTGACTTTTTAGGAACCAAAAAAAAAGCGTGGTGCCCGAGGTTTGCAAATCATAGGAGAGGTAGGCTTTTCTTGGAGTACAATATGTGCACATCCTATTGGAACACCATCTGCACTTGTAGCAAGAAAAGGTGGCAATCCTTTCAGAGAAAACACAGATTTTAACTTTTTATTAATCTTAATATTTTTAAGTTGTGAATAGTTAAATGTCATATATTTGATGAGAAATCCAAGAATATTTTGTTGTCCTTGCTAAAATGCAGACCATGTGTATCTTGGAGAACAGCCTTCTCTTGCTGCTGGCAGATGGGGCTATGGTGGAAGCAGGCAGAAATGGTGGATTCACAGAGGTCCCACAATCTCTCCATTTCTTTGTTTAGTTCCCATTAAATGAAAGCACCATTTAAGCAGACTATGAACCGGTGGGAATTCTGCATTTATTTGCATTAACTTTACAAGTACATTAACATATGAGTAAGTCACATGGTCTGGATCTAAGTAATTTCAAGCTATGCCATTAAGCTACTCATTATACTTTAGTGTAAAAGTGCATAATAAATAATGAACCTATCAGATGATTCCATCAGATTGGTTCATTTGATACATATAGTACAGGGCAAGTGGTAATCAATACTTAGCACTTAGTGCTCTTTCAGCTTGAGAGTGTTTTATGGACTGTACTTAATTTACACCCAGTTTATCAAACCTGAGTTGGTCAGATTTCACTCTGTGGTCCTACTGGCCACACTATTTCTGATACAAGCCAGGATGCCATTGGCCTTCTTAGCCACCTGGACACACTGCTGGCTCATATCCAGCAGTGGTCCTTTTCCACCAGGCAGCTTTCCGGCCACTCTTTCCCAAGCCTATAGTACTGCCTGGGATCGTTGTGACCCAGTGCAGGACCTGGCTCTTGGTCTCATTCAACCTCATAAAATCAGCCTCGGGCCATTGATCCAGCCTGTCCAGGTTCCTCTGCAGAGCCTTTCTACCCTCTGGCACGTCAACACTCTCTCCCATCTTGGTGTCATCTGCAAGCTTCTTGAGAGTGCACTTGATCCCCTTGTCCAGATCATGGATAAAGATATTAAAAGGACTGGCCGCAATACTGAGCCCTGGGGAATAGCACTTGTGACCAGATGCCAACTGGATGCAACTTCATTCTCCCCTACTCTGGACCTGGCCATCAACCAGGGAGAAAAGTGCAACCATCCAGGCCATGAGCAGCCAGTTCTTTCCCGGAGGGTGCTATGGCATTAAAGGCTTTAGTAAAGTCCAGGCTTACAACACCCATAGCCTTTCCCTCATCCACTAAGTGGGTCACCTTGTCATTGAAGGAGAATAAGTTGGTCAAGAAGGACTTGCCTTTCATAAACCCATATTGGTTGGGCCTGATCCCCTGGTTGTCCTGTACATGCCGCATAATGGCATCGAAGATGATCTGCTCCATAGGTTTTCTCACACCAAGGTCAGACTGACAGGCCTTTAGTTCCCCAGATCCTCCTTCAAGCCTTTCTTGTAGATGGGCATCACATTTGCTAACTTCCACTCAACTGAGATGTCTCCAGTGAGTCAGGACTGCTGATAAATCATGAAAAGTGGCTCAGTGAGCACTTCCACCTGCTCCCTCAGAACCTTTGGGTGGATCTCATCTGACCTCATAGACTTGTGTGTGTCTGAGTGGTGTAGCAGATCACTATTTCCCCTTGGATTATGGGGGCTTCATTCTGCTCCCTGTCCCTGTCCTCCAGCTCTGGGGACCAGATACCCAGAAAACAGCTGCTCTGGATATTGAAGGCTGAGGCAAAGAAGGCATTAAGTACCTCAGCCTTTTCCTCAGCCTTTGTCACTTTGTTTCTTCCCAAATCCCATAAAGGATGGAGATTCTCTTTAGCCTTCCTTTTTTTGCTAATGTGTTTTCAAAAACATTCTTTATTGTCTTTTACAGTAGTACCCAGATTAAATTCTAGTTGAGCGTTCACCCTTCTGATTTTCTGCCTTCATAATCTCACATTATCCTTGTAGCCCTCCTGATTAGACTTCCCCTTGTTCAAAGGTCATAACTTTTTTTCCTGAGTTCCAGCCAAAGCTCTCCGTTGAGCCAAGCTGGCTGTCTTCCATGCCGTCTTGTTGTTTGGCACATGGTTACAACCTGCTCCTGTGCCTTTAAGATTTTCTTCTTGCAGAATGTCCAACCCTCCTGGACCCCTTTGCCCCTCAGGACTGCCTTCCAGGGGACTCTGTCTATCAGTTTCATAAACAGGCCAAAATGTCCCTCTGTAAGTCCAAGATAGTTGTTCTCTCCCCCCACCACTACCCCGTTACTTCTCTGAGAGTTGAAAACTGTCTTTTTGCAGTCACTGTGCCCAAGATGGGCCCCAGCAAGGCAGCAGATGACCCCAAGAAGTGAGTCTGATCAGCATATTGGGCCTTCTGTTCCCTTCAGAAGGGAGCCTAGTGTGACCATGACCCATCCTTTTTAACTTATGGAAGCGTATTGGATGCAGAGCATAGTCTGAATTAACCTCCATCCAGAGGAACTGCCATCCTTGCTATTGTTTGATTCCACTTGCAGAGCCTGACATCTGTTATCCTAGGGCACCTGGGACAGGGGGGTAATGACAGAGGAGACCTGCCTGCTGGGCTGGGCAGGAACTTGTCACCATTGCCCCCTGTCCCTTCAGTCACTGTGTTCAGCCGAGCAGATAGAGGACAAACTACGTTCTTGTGTATTTTTTGTTTGAATATAGACTGAATAGACTATACAGTGGGGCTTGAAGTATGCAGCAAACCATGGTTTTACCTCCACATTTCTTTGACACCCGTGAATCTTTCCATTGCACTAGAATTGAATTTAATGTGCACTGAATTAGGGAGGAGGCAGAGGTCCCTGCTATACTTTTTTTGTATCATTCACCTTCAGTAGAGTGCAGGTAAATGTATTTCTCTGCGGCATTGTGTTGCAGAGGTGAAGAGCATTTAAAATGATGTCAGGGAAATCCAGTTTGAAGGAGACCTCTAATTACAAGAATAATATTTTTAAGTAGCCATTTTAATGTTAAGCGTAATAAAGGATGCACTTAGGAAATGTATTAAAGGAGAGACTTCTGAAGCATACCAATACTTGTAAATGCATCTGCACTCTGTATGCACCAAACCCCAAATTGCTTTCAAATGAAAGCTCTTATAATACATTTTTAAAACATCAGTGATATTAAAATTTCATGTTCTCTTGTAAGTGCTTTGACTTTTTGTAAGGAAGGTCTTTAAATTGGAAAGCTAGTTCAGGCACAGGAAGAGTAAAAAAGAAACAAAATAAAAAGAGGTGGGGAAGAAGAGGAAGACTGGATGTCAAAACAAATGTGTATCTTCAAAGCCAGGACACAAAGTCAAACAGTCAATCAGCCTGAGAAAAGTCACAGGAAATAATATCCAAATCACTATTTCTGTCCTTCTTTCTGATATGCTATTGAATGGCATTAAAGCAGGAAAGAATGACTGTTCCAAAAATAATAGGGAAATGTATCTTGATACAGTGTTTTCACTTCACAAAAAAAATGCTGAGTGCATTCATACAGTAGCTGTCAATGACTCTATGTGCTATTTGCATTTGTTTTCTAAGGTTCATTAGGTACCAAGTGACACTTCATTGTGCATGTTTTTGCATTATATCTTCTGTGCTCTGGCCATAGGTAGCCCTGGTTTTCTGTAGCTCAGTGGACATTTAAATGTTGATCCTGTTTTTATTTTGAGTGATCTTGATTATTTTTTTGTTGTTGTCTTTACTACAGTGGTTGAAATGGAATTTCAGAGCTGTTGCTACAAACATTACACACACCCCTCTGGTAGTGCCTGATAGACACCAATTCTGTCTCAGTTCTCCTCTACAGAAAATACTAGTCTCTGAAGGGGTTTATGATTCACAGTAATAAATTTAAAACATTTCTGTCTTGCATATAGTAGATATGAAAGTGGTATGAAGTCATTAGTTGGTCAAAATGTTCTTCATTGTCTAAATTACAGAAATTATTTGTGGCCTCTTTAAATGTGAAAATTATTCTATATATGTGACAGTCATACAGAAGCATTGTTAAACACTCTTCTTGAGCACAGAGTATTAAAAGTTTCAGAATTTTCAAAGAAGGCTCACAATTGCCTTTGAGAGTGTATACAGTGATGCAATATTAGTATTGAAGTCCTTCTGGATCACTTTTAATATTGTCATCAAAATTAAATGTTCTGCCCTTAACCTTAACTTCTGATAAATCAGTAATTAATGATTCATAGTAAGCAAGCAGGAACTGAAGCACAGGAAGATGTTAGCTTCCCCCTAGGCAAGAGATCATAGAACATGCTGTTCTCTGCAGTAGAGTCCAGCAGTGTCAATTAGTCTTAGACTTTAATTGCATTCAGCTGCACAGGAATTAGAGCTTAGTATAGGAATTATGTTACTTTGTTTTTGCAAACTTCACAAAAGGGGCTGTTTGAAACCCATTACATGGTTATCTTAATGGTTCTGATGGTTATTTTCATGCACCTGTTGATTGTTTAGAGAACCTTGTTCTACTGAAAAGCACAGATTGTATTTTGCAAATAAAATTTTCTTCTCTGTTATTCTGAAGCGTAGTAGATATGCAGAGATGTCTTAAACTATAGTTCAATATTGAGTGGGGAGTTAATAACTTAACAAGTTTCAATCAAGTTGTATTCCTACTGCTTAAGACATCATACAAAATGTTGGTTGGTTTAGATTTCCAGGAATATAGTGGACTTTCCAGGGTTGACTAAGCATATAAAGTGGTAAGTGAAATAGTTGTCCATGCAAGGGGACAAAGATGTACCTATTCAGTCTGTAACACCAAAGTGAAAATATAACACATCAACTACCATGTTACTGTCACTGACACATTGCCACAGGTTTTAACATAGATTATTGTGAGGGAAGACAAGATGTGCTTCAAAGAAATGTTCTCTGTGTATCTACATACTTATTTAAATAATTGTTAAATAGGAGATGTAACTGTTGCACCTTTAGCTTCTCTTAATGTGTTTTCCATTCAGTGGAATGCACATCTGTTGGAGTGTATTTTTTTCCCCCTCATTTACAAAAAGCTGGCTTGGGATATTAGCCATGTTGATACAGGTCTGTAGGGATCATTAACTTCCTTGGCGGGGCTCCAAGTAATTGGAGACACAGTCTAATCTCTCCTGTTAGGTGTTCATTGCTACTCCTGTTGGGGAAAGACAATTATATGTAGGCATTTCAATACATTTACCTTCCTGGGTTTGGTTTGTCTGGTTTTTTTTGCTCGTTTGGGGTTTTTGAGGTTTTTTTTGTTTGTTTGGGTGGTTGGGTTTTTTTATATAAAGTGTCCTGTGTAATATATTTTTTCTCTCAGATTTGGAATTAGATTTCTGCTTTTTTATTATCAGGCACTAGCCTGATGGATCTGGTAAGTCCAATAGAAACTGTCAGAATACTGATGTATGTGTCAGACTTACTGATGATAAGTCACGAGCCAAGTGCTTCCAGTCATAATCTTCCCACCAACTGATTGTGCTGAAACATCAGTTTTATTTTTAGAAGTGCAGCTTGCAGAGAAATAATCATGTTCACATGAGCATGTACCATTATCATAAAAAAACCCCCAACAACCAAGTATGTGGGTGTACAGAGAAACACAAGTGAATTACAGAAATAGCAAATAAATATTTCTAATCCAAGTAACTATATCCAAGACAAAAGTACTTCCAGCACTCTACTGTTCCTGAAAAAATTAACTGTCTGGACTAAATAGTGGATAGATCTTGAGAGTCTAGTTGATAGGAAAGGAAAAAATTGCCTTGGACTTGGAAGGTGGGATGAGCAGAGATGTTCAAAGTGATCAGATACTGAATGCTGACTGAAATAAAATAGAGCAAGACATGTTGCATCACTCACTAGTGCTTAGAATATTGGTACTGCCATATTGGTACTGCCATGCTCTCTCCCTCTGTAAACCCTCTTTTACAACTCTTTGAACTGCTGTATCTCTCAGAATATATTTAAAAAATATATTAATCGAAAGTGATGAGAATGTGAAGGTTATTATTATGTCAACTGTGAAGCAGCAAGAAAATTATAGAATAATCTATATAGAAGAAGTATGCATCATTACATACTGAAAAAAAAGAGGTTGTATTGTGTAATGGGGACAAAAATCTCATTTAGACCAAGTTCCTTTCAAAAATCTTTAGTAAGACATCTCTTAATGTGAGTCTGAGTAAAGTCAGATAGTTCAATTTTTTTTCCCTTTTCTACAGTACTGAATTCATTATGTGGTGACTTCTTAGTCCAGATTTAGACAGCATGAAAACAGCTAATCAGAGCTACAAAGACAAGATTAAGTGGTGTTAATTTCCAGACGTTAGTGTTGGAATTTACATTTACTTGTGTTGATAGATCTAGACTTAAGATGATAGGAAATAAGTTATGGTGATGGAAAAAAATAAAGTAGATCATTCTTGTAAGGATAAATGGGGGCAAAATTGATAAAGCAGTGATTTCTGGGATTTTTTTTTTTCCAAACAGTCAGAAAATTCTTGATATGGTTTGTGACTTATTTGTGTTTTTTCAAAATCACTGAGTTGATCTACTGACATGGGAGAGCAGATCTCAGGTCTTTTATGGCAGACATTTCAAAGCTATCATCTTGACCAGTATGAGGTGATAGCTTCAGAGGATTTTCCACTGTTTCTGCGAATCATTTGATGAGTACATCTGAATTCATTGCAGTCCTCTGGCTTTTATCATTCAGAAGCTGGTATAGATCAATCCGTGATTCTGGCATATAAATAGCTGAGAGGGGTGGAAAAAAAAACAATTGAATATCAGAGCTGCAGTCTTCTTTTATGCTAACAGCCTTTCTTTTGAATAGCACAAAAAGTGGGGAGAGTGAACTCGGGCTTGATTCTACTTACACGCTTAGAAATAATGGGAGGTTTATGAAATGTCATCACCACTACCATCTCCAGGTAGCTTTCTAACCTATTGAATTCAAAAAGTGAAGGAAAAGAGGAGAAAGTAAAGCAAGAACTCAAAGAACCAACATGAATTGCATGTAGAAAGGCTAGGGAAATACAGGGAAGAACTTGGTAACTTATGTAGGAGGAAAATTAAATTCCAGCCGTTGCTTTTACAATTTCAAGGAAGACACCAAATATCCAAATACTACTTGCAGCTTGATGAGGGTGGCCTCCAGAAATAACTCTGCAATTTGTAGAAACGCTGAAATCTGAAATTACCCAATAAATAAAACTATACCTACAGGAATAACATTTCTAAATTTCCAATCTCAGTCTACGAGGAGGGGAAAAATGTAGCAACTGATACAACTTTGAAGTGTATTTATAGAAATTAAAAATTTCTTCTGAAATCTCTGTAACTTTCTTGGTTATGTACTGGAGAAGCAGATTTAGGGTCCTGCTGATGGCAGTACAACAGTTCACAAAGGGGACTGATTGTATCTGTAGTAGCTTCTGTATGAATACAAAGTTTGAAGAAGATGGATTAAAAATGTGTCTTACACAGCAACCTACAGAAATCTGTGAAAAGACCCTCTGTTAAGTAACAGGATGCTAGTATGATTTCTTCAGGAGAAACCTGCTTTGCTCTGATTTCTATAATATGAGGAAATAAATGAATTTCAATAGGGATTTGACTGAAAATTAATTTGAGGCTCTAAGCAGTCTACTGCAGGGACCACCAACAGTATCCTATATCTGAAAGGATGTAATTTGGCCTCGAAGAAGTTTGCTAAAACTGAAGTCTGAGTTCTGTCTTTGCTTTTAGTATATACCTGCAGGTGGGCACTATGAAGGTTAGATGAATAGACAAGTTCACAGAAGTAAAATGAAAGAAGTTGCAATTAAAACATACTTTGCATTCATAACATCCTGCTTTCAGGAAGCCAATCACCTGAGCCCTATGCTCTCAGAGATACTTGTCTTTTTTATGTGAAGCAAATTGAAATCTAATCAAGTAGTATCTCAGAAGTTTGGAAATTATATTTGGGTTTTAAAATACTGTATCTCCATTCTTCCAGGCACAAATGTGGTTTAGCACATTTGATGTTACAGAATCACAGAATATGCCCAGTTGGAAAGGACTCACAAGGATCATCGAGTCCAACTCCTGGCCCTGCACAGGACCATCCCCAGGAGTCACACCAGGTGCCTGAGAGTATCGTACAAATGCTTCTTGAACTCTCTCAGGTTTGGTGCTGTGACCACTGCCCTGGGTAGCCTCTTCCAGTGCCCAACCACCCTCTGGGTGAAGAACCTTCTTCCAATATCCAATGTAAACCTCCCCTCACTCAACTTCAGGCCATTACCTCGGGTCCTGTCCCTGGTCACCACAGAGAAGAGATCAGTGCCTGCCCCTCCTCTTCGCCTCATGAGGAAGTTGTAGACTGCAATGATGTCTCCCCTCAATCTCCTCTTCTCCAGGCTGAACAGACCAAGTGACCTCAGCTGCTCATCATACGGCTTCCCCTCAGGGCCCTTCACCATCTTCGTTGCCCTCCTTTGGATGCTCTCTAATAGTTCAATTTTAATAGGCTAGGTGCTGACAAATCAAAGTGGCAAAAATCTTAGGTGGCATCTTAGGCAGCTTTAAATTAATATGTGTGTTGCCCAGCTACCTTGTTATTTGACTGATAACACAGTTGTTGTTTTTCTTTCTGAAAATGTTTAGGGTTTTTTGTGTTATGATTTTAGGGTTTTTTTAATTTATTTATGAACTCTATGTTTAGTCTTTACACCTTGTGAACTGATACTTTGGCATTATAAATACGTGCTGAGCATTTTGTGTTGTCTTTGGTAAGTCTGTTTACTGGCTGGGAGGAAGCAGGTTTTGTGGGAGGAAAGCGGTTTTTTAAGTTGTAAAAATTACCACTGGATACTGGTCTCAGTAGGGAGTGAAAACCCTACTCCTAGCTGGGCGTGGAGTGATGCATACCTTTGCAGTCTGCAAAGGCTCTCCTCGTGTACATGACCTATTTGATGGGGACTGGGGTCCCTTGTAACCCCCTCTCCTGCTGTGATTGTGTCTCCCTGTTAGGCTCAGAGTCTTCCAGCAGTGCTGGCTCCTCAGGATCACTGTCACGAATACATCAGCCTCTCCAAAGTGCATCTCTTGTCCCTGGGGTAACAGTCAGCTCTACAGGAAGTGTGTCCTACCCTGAGAGTGGGATGAGTGGCCAGGTGGCCCCCAGCAACACCAGCTATATCATTCTTCCACTTGAAGCTGCAGGGATACCGCCTGGCAGTATCCTTCTCAACCCACACACAGGTCAGTATGATTCTCTCCTGCCTGATACTGCCCGTTGGTGCTTCTCATGTCAGCTGGCGAATTACCAAATTTCTTGTTTCTGGACATGTTTTCCTGGGGGCATTTTATGAGCAAATATACATACAAATGGCATTTTGCAAGTTGTCTTTTTCAAATCTGCTGGCAAAGTTAGATTGGCTTTCTGAGGCTATTGTGGCATAGCTGGTGGGAAGTGATACAAAACACACTTGCTTCATCCCAGACAGGATATTCATCATTCAGAAGTCCTAGCACTCCTTGGCTGTGAATCTTCTGAGATACCATTAGCATCAATAAAGACAGATGCTTTTCTATATTGAGCATGCTGAGATACAGTGCAATCGAAATACATCGTCAAATGTCAGCAGAATTTCAAAAAGCTTAAAGACTGCATTTGAATTTGCACTTCAGAATTAATCTTGTTATGTGAGCTGCATGATTAGCAATTGTATTTAAATTGTGAGTTTTGTGATAAGACAAAGCTGTAACTGTTCAATTCCTGGTAGTTAGCAGCACCACAGTGCACAAACAAGGTGCTTGCAGGCACCCAAGTGCTGTGGATGCTTTGGAAACTGCTCAGTTTGAACTTGAGTGTTTGCTGAAAGTTTAAGGCAATTTCTTAACTGCCTTGGTCTAGATGAAGTCCAGGTTATATTACACTATTACTCCCCACAGTATTGTACTGTCAGTATTAAAAAGGTTCGGGGAGTTTGAGACTGTGATGTTTTTTCAGTGATTTGAACCATTTCAGTGACCATGACTAGCTGTGCTGTCAACCTTAGCTGAGTTATGCTAGGTTTAAAGCAACAAAGCCTATGGTGAAATGTATCTTCCATTATATGAGAACTGAGGATTGAACTCAAAAATATTTTTTCAAAGTCCTTGATAGAGCATCCAGGAGCTTTTTCTTTGGGGATTTTTGTTTATTACTAGTATTTTATGTGTATTACATCTCTGTGTTTCAGTATTTCAGTGCAAATACCTAAAGCTTATTTGTGAGTCCACTACTATGAATACTTTGTTTCGGTCATAGTTTGGTCAAGAAAGTTGCAGCATTTAAGAAAAACACAGCTTTGGTAAACTATTGAGCCAATCTTTCCACAGATACTTAGAGATAGTAGTATCTGGGGCTGATCAATGTATATCAGCATATTTAAAATCAGGGAGCATTTCTTGTTTAGATTGAAATGTGAGAAGTTCTTTCCGGAGAGGTGACTTAGTAACTTGCACAGACCTTTCACTTTTCTGAAGCCTTTACTATTTAAGTGTACTTTTTTCCAAGCTATTGCATTATTGACATGAGAGCCTGATACTGTTGGCAAGAAAAAAATCTGTCAGTATGTTCATCTGCTCATTTCTGTTGTTCCCATAGTTTTCAGTTCTGTCTGCAACACTGAAATTTCTTGGTCAATACAGAAGACAGCATTTTGTGTGCTATGGGGTCCACTTCCATGCAAAACTCAGCAGGCCTAGACAGGAGTCATCCATAATTCAGGTGACAGGACTGAGAAACAAATGAAAGGAATTGCTGCTGCTTGGAGATTGTGCTTGTTCCTGGCCATGGTAAGGACAGAGACTGGAGGTCACCACACTTGAGAGCCGGAAGAGCAGTTTAAGAGGAACATCTTAAATTGACAAAATTGACATCCTGCGTCTGTTTTGTCAGTTTAGCAATTTGCAGCAGCTAGTTCATATTTTTCCCTGGTACCCGGGGAGTCTTTTTTTCTGCTGTCAGTATAATGCCTTTCAGTACTGTCACTAGACCAGAGCACCTCATCTTCCTTCTGAGTGTGCCTCGTTGTCTGCAGAGACATCACTGGGAGCCCCATATGTGTTAAGGGAGCAAGTATTTTTACGTGTATCTGATTTCGTGTTTCTTTCAAACCCTCTGTTTTATTTCTGTGGCTCCCTTGTAAATATATACATAATAAAGAAAATGGAAGGAGGAGATTCTTTAAAAGCCTAAAATTCTTGTCTCACGCTTCTAGCTTCATCATGCTGCCTGTGCTGGAAGATGCTACACTTTAGCATCTACTGTATTTTTTACATGCAGCAAAATACATACTGCAAATTTATCACTCTTTGGGCTCAGAATCTTTGCATCTCATTAGTGTAACATTACAAAAGGAGCTCCATAGGGAGGAGATTTAGATTGCTAGATGCTGTGATCAACTATTAAAGTGATGGATGCTGTCAGAAACATAGATGAAGAGAAGACAGTTTAAAGAAAAGGAAAAAGGAGCTTTGTTTCCTGTAATGAATAGATTTTCTTTCCCTATGTAACGCCATTGTTTAGCTCTTTCTTTTCCTCTTGCAGAGTGGCTACTTCCAGAATTTTTCTCTCTTTTGATCATAACGCTGTGTCCTTTAAAGATCTTTACTTCCTTTCACACTACATAGTCACTGACTGTGCAAGCCTCTAATGGCATCCACAGCTGTTGTCAATATCTTCTTGCTCTGATTATACCTCTCTGCTCCTTCTCAGGTGTTGGCAGTCCACACTTTCTTTTCCATATCTGCAGTTTCCTTTACTTCCTCTCCTCTGCTTTACTGTTCTCCTTCCTCAGATAGACCAGCTTCTTACTTGCTTTGGCAAAGAACCATTTATGTGGTTGTGCTCTTTTGCACTCCATTTCACCTGCTTCTGTTTTACCCTTTAAAGGATTCCTTTTGACGCGTTCTGACTTAATCCCTTTGACAACTTAAGAGCATTTATGTTTCATTCTTACTCTTCTAAATGACATCGCAATCTTTGGTCTTCTATCAGGGCCACAGTTCATAACTTACAAATGTCTTCCCTGTTACCATCTGATCTCTCCTTTTCATTTCTTATTTCAAGATTTCTTCATGAAAAGTCTTTTTCTTTTCATCTTTAAAAGAATTGCTGGGACTTTTTCAATTATGTCATTGAAATGCTCTTTATTGGCTTCCCTTGAGTATCTGACACAGGCTTTGGGTGGCTGTTATCCCACTCAGTCTTCTAAAGTGCTTCTGGAGCCTTAGATTCCCAAATCTTGGTAGTCCATGCCATAGTCACCCAGTGTGTTCACAGCAAGATTCAGGAAAACAGTGGACAGAACTGTCTTGTGCTTCTCTTCCACTCAGTCATGACCTTTCTCGTCATGAGTGTGATGTCGAGTTGGTCCAGGAAGTGTTGATGCTCTAGAGAAAAAGTAAGGTTCTTTAGCCAGTGCTCCTGAGGCATTTCTGACTGTGATTCATAAGAGGGGGAAACTGAAAGTCTGAGGAGTAGATAGAACAGGTAGAGATGCTTTGTAGTATACAAATCAGAAGTTCATTGTTTCACTCTAGCTCTAAGTCACCGAATTGCTCCAGATCTCCCTTTTCATCTCAGATATTCATACTTTGGTTACTGACTTTAATGGTTATGGTATCATTGCTAAAATTTTTCTCATGGAAACATTTGTAATTCCTTTGATTTACGGATTTACGATAGAAGTGAAAAGAGAACTGAGGTCATGGAAAACATTTTTCATACAGAAAAACACCATTTATTTTTTGTTTGCGAGACAGTGACTTGGGTAAACTTTTTTATTATTTCAAACAAACATTGGTTTTGCAAGGTTATTTCCCCCACCTAAAATATCTGAAGTGAAATGAGTTCAACAATTTAGTAGAGCTTTGGACAGAATTTTTCTTGTATATAAGAGATTTTTAAATACATCTTAAGTGTTGCTTCCTTGAATACTTGAGTGCTGGCTCCTGTAATTACATAGGGCAAAGCTCTCAAAAGTACATTACTGTGTTATTGGAATGTGTAAATAAATAAGGAACAGGGGGTGTTTGGTTTTCTTTTTGTTTCCTACAAACTATAGTGTGTCAGAAGTAGTTGTGTACATTTGACTGCTATTGTGTCAGAGTAAAATGTAACTGAATATTCCCTATGTTAAGTGTTTGCTCCAAAGTTCAATTTTAATGTTAATTGATTTATCATTGAATGACTTCAAGTAACAAGAGCATATGAATCATCTTATAGCCATGGTAACTTTCCACCCATTCCTTGAAAAATCATCCTTCCAAAACAAATACCTGCTGTCTNTGAATCATCTTATAGCCATGGTAACTTTCCACCCATTCCTTGAAAAATCATCCTTCCAAAACAAATACCTGCTGTCTGTCTTGCCTGGAAAAAAAAAAAAAAGAAAAAAAAAAAAAGATGGCTGATACTGTAATTACTGCAATGAGGCATTCAGTGTGATGAACACTTTACTGTTGTAGCAGGTCAGCTAAAGAGTGATCAGTTAAAGCATGACTGTATCCTTTCATACAGGAAACGGTATATTCTTTAAAATGTTTAGCAAATGCAGAGTGTCTTGTTTCAGGTCAACCGTTTGTAAATCCTGATGGGACACCGGCAATATACAATCCTCCCAGTGGCCAGCAGACGATGAGGAGCCAGATGGTGGGACAGTCTCAGCAGCAGCCTTCATCTCAGCAGCCTCAGCAGGTTCAACAGCCACAGCAACAAATGGCAAGTCACCTTGTCACACAGGTAGGTGTGGTGGCCATTGGAAAAAAGAAGGAGCTCTCAGGGATATGAAGAATGACCTAAAGGGTAGGAGGTAGGAATGCAGCTAGACAAAAATATCAGGAAGTGCTTTTCAACATGCATGAAAGAGATAGAGAAGATTACTTTTTCAGTTGTATGTAAAGGATGATTTTATTTTCAAAAGTACTGTTAAACAAGTTGGTGTATGTCTACATAAGGTTATTTTGCAAAATTCACCCATAAGTGGAAGCTGAAGCATTCATTCCCAAAGTAGTGCAGCCTGTAATTTTCTCCAAAGAGTGACCTTTCTCTGTCCCTTTTGACAGCAGTGGGTTTGAGTCTAAGAATCAAGTACAATGAAGGGCTCTACAAACTCTTTCATGTCCTGTTGTATTGGGCCCAATCTATGGGTAACCCGCTCTCCAAGCACCTCTGCCCCAGCTTGGTGGTTTTCTGCCTGCACCCCATTTTCTTGCCCATTACCCTGCTCTGAGCTAAAAATTCTGGAGCTGTAGCAGGAGAGGGGAAGAGCAGACTGATTTGAGCACAGTGCCATGGTGTGTCAGCTCTCTGGTCCCTGGGCTGGCTGTGGCATGTGGCCAGGTGTAGCCAAGCATGGGCAGCAAGGTTTGGATCTGGTTCAAACTTAATTTTGTGGATTGCATGCCTCTCTCCCCGAGCAGAGCAGACAGAGGGAACCACTCAAGCAAGAATCCTATATTATGTTTAGTCACAGAGCAGCCAAGATCTACTGCAGTTCTTGTGCGGCTTTATAATTTGGCACAGTTTCATCCCAGGTTACCCAGAAATACAATGTTTAAATTCAGTGAAGTTGCTTTGATTTTACTGGATTTGGACTTACATGGTTATGGCTCTTATTTCTTGATCTGGTCCTCACAGTTTTAGAAGACGGGGGTAGTACCAAACGTGTGTACGAAGTTATATGGGAGGTTAAAATGAAAGGAATACTAAAGCTATTCCAAGGTAATAGTGCTGTGGAAAATTGTTTTTTCACTTAGATAAACATCTGCTCAAAGCTGATGGCCTGTCTGTTGGTAATTCACAGCCTGTTCTTCCTAATTTTTTTAAAAACTCCTTTGTTCTGACAAAGCAGCTTTACAATCATTATTCCTTTGCCTATGAAACACTCAGAGTTAAATCAGTCACTAACAGCAAAATTCAAATACGTAGTTATACTGCACTGCTCTTCCATTTTTATCTCTGTAAATGAAATGTAGAATCATAATTTCGCTTTGGCTCACATTAGTAATAAGAAGATACAGCTTGGCTTTATTTAATCCAACATCCATCAAATATGTGAAAAGAGGCAGAAATATCTGTAATAAAGAATTGTTTGATATAAGGCTAAAATGAAGTCTAAAATTGCAGTACCTGACCTGTTGTACTTGGGCTGGTGATGAGTCACCTGTATTTTCAGAGCTGTGATTGATACCTTTGTTCTCAATAACAAAGGTGGTGGTGGTGGTGGTTATCTCTCTCTAAATGGTTGAATTTATGTCTTTCACTGTGTTTATTTTGCAGCCTGTTCAGACAATGCAGCCATCTTCTCAATCAGTCCAATATCCAGCAGTTTCTTATCCTCCCCAGCATCTCCTGCCAGTCTCTCCAACGCAGCAGTTTTCTGTGGTACTAAAGATTTTCTTTTTTCTTTCCTTGAAGCTGGGGATGTGAGCATGACTATGCCCAGGAGCCTCTGGGGAGCACTGCAAGGATGGGTGTCCCACATGAGAACTCTATCTAAATAAATACCCATTTGCCTTAATGCTTTTGGTACTGACAAGCATTTTGTAAGAACATTTCCACTGATTCTGGTTAGCTAACCTGAAGGATGTTGCTAGGAGCAGGACACTCTACATGGTGAGCAGAACCTCCAGAAAAATATTTTGTTGTGCCTGTGATAAGAACTTATATCTTGTCACTTAATGTTAAGGGATCTTAAATTGCTAACTCCAGTAGTTGAGATTTAGGTTATCTCTCTTTTATGTCCACAAAGACTGGAGAAGAGACCTCTAGAAATCATTATTTTTTATTTAATATTATTTTATCTGTATACTAAATCCCTTGCCTGGATTTATTCCCTGATGATACCAGAGCACTTGGGAAAGAGGGTAGCAGTGAACCAGCTGCAGAAGGTGTGGTACGCTGTACAGCATGACAACGCACCAATGGACATGTATAATTAAAATAAATAGAGTGCTCTTCTAGAGTCTGATTCTGGCTTGGTGCTTACAGGGCCAAGATTATACTGTTCTAAAATGAAGCTGACATTTTAAGAGGCACTACAAAATTTTTTTCTGTTGTTTTTCTCTCTTGCTCTAGTAATCTTGTTTATGACTTTTTTTTTTTTTTTCCCCAAGGTAGAGCTGTCATGTAGTTATAATAAGAGATAGAAACAAAGCTGAGTGGATCCTTGCAGATAAAATAGTGTTATTAGTGCCTGGTAGATGAGTGGTACCATTTAAAGGACAATAAAAATTATTCCGTGCTGAACAAAAGTTGCATATCTCACTGCTATTTCTCTTGAAAAGTGTGTTGCAGGAATATCAGGTTGTTCTAGTGTGTGGTGGGTTTGTAGTCATAAGAAGGCTGATATTTTTATTGGCTAATTTAATAGTGCAACTTCACCTGAATTAATGTCTTCAATGTACATTACATTATATAAACACTGGATAAATTATCTTGTTTTGAAGCTCTTGTTCTTTATTGGGCAAATCCAAAGCCATTCCTGGCTCAATGAAGTTTCTTGTAGAATCTGTTTGCAGTCATTTGCCATTCAGATAACAAATAATCTAGGTTTTTAAAGGAACACCTTCCGACAGACAACTTATGTGCCTGAATATGAATGTAGAATGATAGTAAAGTTAATAGCATTACTTCCATATACCACCTGATGATCTGTCAGGAGTGTTTAAAGTGTTGATCCGTGGTATCTGCTCTCAAGAGTTGGGAGGGTGAGTCTGTGCAGTCTCTATCAATGCTTTCCACAAGCAACCTTTTTTTTCTTTTTACATATTTTGAAGTTTCCTGACAATAATTGCTTTGTGCTGGATGGTTTTGGAGAATGAACATCACCAGGCTGCAAACAAAACTGGAGTCTCCTTTTAAAAGATAATATGAATGTTCTAAGCAAAACACATTTTTATAATGCTTATTTCCTATCTGTAATCTGAATATTAGCATACAATAGAGTTTTATGTTGAGTATTTAAAAGTCTTATGATATGGGCATAAACGAAGATGCCTAGAACCACATTCGTAAATCTTTGACCTTCACAGAATAAACTTGAGATCACTTAATAGTATGACTCTTTTTGCAAGACTGAACAGATTCTGTCCAGAATGCCTGTGTTATTACCAGCATGTAATGAAACTTAGGTCCATTGACTTTATTTGATACGTTCATCCTACCATAGATTCTTTTTTCCCCCTCCAGTCAAATAAAGTACTCATTTCTTTCCAATGCAGAATAAAAAGCCTTGAAATAGCAACATAAGGCTTAGCTTTTTTTTATCTTCTCTGTGTTTGCAACCTTGGATTTTCAAAACAGTCCAAAAAGGGAAAGGTCTGCACCTGAATCCTACTGAATTCCTCTTAGGATCAATTTGAAACACAGGTGAAATTACCAGCATGTGCTTGGCTGACAAATTCTGTGTTTGGGGATAGAGGTATTCTTAATGTTATTTTCATGCCCTTTATATTGAAAATGTCTTCTTTTGAACACTGTAAAGTTCACTTGTCATTTTGGAAAAGAAGGTGAGGGGGGCAAGGTAAGAGCCAAAATTGGCTTTTGTGCCAAATAATGCCATTCACCTTGCAGTCTAGAAATATTTGTCAAAGCATTTATAGTGATTTTGATTTTAATTGCCTCCATTTTTGTAGACATCCATGCAAAGTTTGGCATGGATTTGAGCTGAGCAATTCCTTTTCCCCTCATGCTCTGAACCTATTTTGTTTTGCTAATTTGTGTGTCTACTGCAGACATCATGTCTACATCATTTTCTACTGCCTTTTGCCCTGCAGCGAGATGACATGACAGCACAGTTTAACCAGATGAGCTTAAGTCGTCAATCATCAGGAGACAACCCTGAATCGCCTTCTGGTCCTGTCTACCCATCGCCTCTCTTGCAGCAGCCTGCCCAGCAGACGAGTTACATTATGGCTTCCCCAAGTCAACAGCTTCCCCCGGGAAGCTTTACAGGTTCAGGTCCACCAGTATCCCAGCAAGTGCTGCAGCCGCCACCACCACCCCAAGGCTTTGTGCAACAACCGCCACCACCTGCTCAGGTAGGCAAAACCTTCCCTACCAGTTTAGCATGGAGCTCTTTGTAACATCAGAAAGAGAACATAAAAATTCGAGATTTCCCCCCCACACACCCTGATAAGAGCTTAGCAGATTTTTAGGCAGCAGCAAACTTGCAAAGCGTCTATCATTTCCTGGATTTCATTAATCCCTTCCTTATCCTCAAAACATTTTCTGAACATATGTTTGTACTCCAGGACACATCTGCACATGAATATGAAGGAGGAGGGTGAGTAAATATCCATGGTCCTTTTTCTCTGTATATATACCAAAAGAGCAACATGCACATCAGCCCAGGTAGTCATTAATCATATTTAATTGACTTGAACATGTGAGATGTCACAGATCAGTAATTTTAACTGTCTTCCTGAAGACTGATTATGTTTTACTGTTCACTACCAAACATCTCTGCTTGTCTCCTGGGTACCTTTACAGAATATTGAAAGTGATTACTGTCAAGAAGTAAAATGCACAGATGACTTTCTGGCCAATTTTCAAGGCATACACATTAAAAAGACAGATTTCTTTATCCAATTATAGATAACTTCGTTTAAACTCTACTTTAAATGGCATTAATAGTATTTCTTCTGTTTTCATTTTGTCCTTTGGAAGAAAATATATAAAAATAAAGTACAAAACTTCACCATTTCTTTTAATGTAAATGTATTATAAACCCTGCTAGTTTGGGGGTTTTTTTCTTTGTTTACTGCTGCTTACTGAAAATCTCCATTTGTGTTTGTTAATGGAATTCTGTATTGCCACAGGAATGAAGAATTTTCATTGTTACAATGTTTTAAGTGGCCTAAAGATCTAGTTAATTAGATCACTAATTATTAATAAAAGAAATCTGAGGACTACTGGATGCTGACATCCCATAGAGGACATACATAGTTTCTGTGGTTAGGAAATATGTGGCTGTTTTTTCTCAGAGAAGGCTTGCCAAGAACATGTTTTAAGGGGCTGAAGTTCAATATAATGTGATTTTTTAAAAAAATGAAAATATTACTAGAAAAGATATTTCATAGTTTGCCAAATGTAGTGGGTTTTTTTTTAATTCAGAAAAGAAAAAATGAACTAAAGGGCAGAATTCCCTGGTGTATCTGTCTCTCCACCTAGATTGTGCTCCCTAAGTGAGTAAGTAGAGGCTTTCCAAGCTTCAGTCCTCACGTACAGCCCCCAGGTACTCTTAGTGTTTTCGAACATCGTTTAATCAAACCTCACGACACTTCTAGTGAAGCAGATAAATGCAAGCACCTCCATTTTACGGGTTGTCTCCGCAGCAGGCAAAGTGATGTGTTTCCCAGCTCTGCTAGCCGAGGTTTGCCAGAAATTGTGGGGGCTGCAGCATCGTGCTGCCTGCCATGATAGGGGACCCCAGACCGCCTCCTTACTCCTGTGGGTGAGACCAGGTGTGCGGCTCTCCCTGGGATCTCTGCTAGACCCCATCTCAGTTGACTCTGTATGGACTGCTTTGGCAGGTTTGCCCACAGCTCCTGCCTCCCTGTGGCTGAGCCTTGGTGTGTGAGCCTTGGATTTCACCCTCGCATGTGCCGCAGGGTGCAGGGATTTTACTCAGTATGGTGTAGTGTTCCTTGAGGAAGCTGTTTTCCCTCATTAATACTTGCTTTGGCGCTACTTAGAGTTAGGTTAACTTCTTCAGTGATGAGGAGGTGCCTTTTCATGTACAGGCTGCAGTAGGACTGGTACAGTACTGGTGTGTCTAATGGCCACTGTGTCTCTGACTGTAACCCAAATACGGTACTTATGGGTACTTTCCTCCTGTGCAGTCACAAAGTGGAAAGTTACTGAGAGCAGAAAAAATATCTTTGTAACAACTCCAGTTATTTCACTGGGGAATGATTTGTCCTTGGGGTATGTAGAAAGGTGAGAAATTCAGCACTGTCATCTTCCTCTGCATCTGCGAACACCATTTATCTCCAGCTTGTTGCTCTTCCAAACAGTCCTTGTCAGATACCTGTGGAAAAGGGGATGGCAGGGTTTAGTCCCTGCTACCTGTGTCCCTGTCCTGTGAAAGCACAGTGGCCTTGGTCTGCCAGTGGCAGAAGAAGGCAGCCACTCTGCATCCGCTTGCACGGAGGGGAAATTCTGAATCGACATTTCAAGTTTTAATTCATTCACTTCAGTCCTAGAATGTGGCACAGTGGTTTGGATACTAATTGTAGCATACTAATGTATGGAAAATAGAGGATGCCTCTTATAAAAAAGATGAATGAATCCTTGGGAAATAGTAGTTCTTCTGCCCTGAGAGCTCAGCTTTCTGTGCAGGTGGACTCCTTGTCTTGCCTGTGGCACAACTTCACTGTGGCAGTGGCTATTGTCAGTCTGAATCAGCTGTTGTTACTCTTTGGGGCTTAGATGCAATAGTAAGTCTGCTCTCAGACACCAAGGCAGGTGGTCTGAGGCAGGCTTAAAAAAAAAGGTGCAATAAAGATGGTAATGGAAGCAAAACATTACGTGATACATTAATCAATGCAATGCAATCAATGTAAAAGCACTTTTATATCTTAAATGTTGCTATTGAATTTATACCAGTGAAAAAGAGGCATGACTAATGACTAATTAGTTCCTGTAAATGCACTGCTGATAAGGCTGGCTGTGATGCTCTGTATGCTGTTGGAAAATAGCAGTGAAAACTTGGGTGGAGGTCCTATGAGTGTGATCATTTTCTTTGGCAGCTGAAACGAGGAGAAAGAAATGCTCTCCAAGTCTACAAACACAGTAGTACTACATTTAAATTATTATCTAATCTGTTAAAGTTCAGTTTAATGTGGCTCTACAGCTACTCTCCAAGATTCTTTTTCCCAGTCTGTATCAATGTAGAGACAGACTGGATTTGAAATGACATGCCTAAGAAGAGGTGAGAGGACCCCTTATGTTTCTTTTGCTTCTTCTTTCATCACAACTATTCCCTAGCTTGACAACAGTCACGACTTAGGAACCTGAAAATAAGAATCTATCTTTTTTCAGCCAATAGAGAGAAAAAACAAAACAAATCACACCAAAAAACCAAAACCCTGCATTTGCTGAAAGGGACTTTTAGCAGCAAATGACTGTTTGCTTTATATCACGAATTTCAAATGTACATCTTTACTTCCTCTATTTTTGTTTTTCTTCTCTTTCTGATGTTTCTTCTATAGTGCTTATGGGACCAGACACTTTAGCAAGGGTCCGCATTCTGTTTTGCAGTACTCTATCAATGGTGCTTGTCTTTGCCTCTGCAAATGAAGAAATGGAAAAAATGAGAGTATTGTACCAATGGGAAATGATATCCTCCCTTAAAAGTTATTTTCACCTCTGTCTTATTCTTTGGCAAAATGATGTCCAAAAGTGAGATGGCATGAATTCTTGGAGAGGCCTGGAGAGGCCTCAACACATGTTGAGGGATTTTTCACCTGGATTAATTTTATGTCATCATTAATTTTAGCTGTCTCTTTGCAGAAACCCCTCCTGAAGAGTCTATAGCTACCCTAAGACAAAATCTTTATTCATAGCATGTCTCCTCTATGAAACTTGTTATGAAGAAAGTTGGGGAGTCACTGCAAATGAACAGGTCTTTCCTTGATGATCTCAGAAAATTATTTTTTGTCACTGTTATTGTAAGTATTGGCAGGGGGGGAGGAGAAAAAAACCCTTGAAGAATGACTGATCCCAGTCAGTTAGATGCTAGGAAGAAATGGTACCTCAAAGTGTCCATGCATCAGTGTGGTTTCTCTTGCCTTCTTCACTCCCATTTATGTAACTGTAGCTGTTGCAATAGCAATAATATCAGCATCATTAATCATCTGGATGAAGGTGTTAATCCAAGCCTTACTGGATATCAGCAATTTTAAGAGAAGGTGGAATACCTGTCTGATGACTGAATCAAGATGTAAGTCAGTAGGGAGGTAGTTTATGAAAGTAAAATTATCCTGAGAGGTTTCTGGAGTCCTGATCCTACCATGGGAAAATATACCAGTGAATTTCAGGGGTGCTGCTAGAGAGCAGTCCAGGAGACACCCAGCCTCATAATGGGTTTCAAACTGTATGTAGACAGAACAGAATGGAAAGCCAGTGCTGTATGGAGTCTCTGCATGTCATCTATAAACAAAGCACATTAGAAGCAGGAAAAAGTAATGTCTGTCCGTGCCATTTCTTGAGTGTCTCTTAAGTGACGTGCCCAGTCCTGTTTAAACTTAAGTTAAGTAAAGTACTGACTAGGAGAGAAAAAGGAGAACTCGGTGGAATGATCAGCCTATATACAAGGAAGGTATTCACCTTCAAAATAAGAATATCCAAGGAATTGGATATTTAACTCTTTCCATGATAATTATTAAAAAGGAGGGATTTTTCACAGTGTCAAGGATTAAGATCAAGAAACTATGCTTTTAAACTAAAGAAGGTAGCATTTACTTAGGCTGTGCTCTTAGAAGCACTTTTTTTTTTTGTAATTTAATTTTGTTTTTAGGATAACCATATATCTATCTTGGCATGCTTGTTAATGCCATGGAAACTTTCTGGTTCTGTAAAGGAAGTACGTTTTGCAAGCAAAAGGTCCAAGGTTAGATTGTGCATTTCACGTGGGAAAGCAATTCAGATATAATTTGTCATGTCAGTAGCCCGCTACAGAAATGTAATTTTTTTTTGTTGAAGAGCACATAAGTAAAGGTGTTAGTAACACTGATGTAATGAGAAACTAAAAAAATTCAAGAGGATCATAGTAGATGATGTAAGTGATACATGTTATCACTGATCCCTCTAATTCCACTGTTCACTAAAGTAGAATCAGAAAGGATAAATAACATGTTTCAACTACTGACATAGAGATGTACTCAAGATAAATGAAAATGGATCCTTCCAAGCCCCTCAAGCACAAAAGACCTATTTTAGACCATATCTATATTTTATACCAAGCCCTTCTTTTAATGTCTAAGTTCTTTAAAAAACCAAAACCAAACCAAACAAAAAATCCCCCACAAGCAACAACAACAGCAAAAACCCCAAACCAAAAAAACAAAATCCACCCCACAATAATGTATCAAAACCCAGACCTCTTTTTTGCAAGTCATGTGTGCATGATTACTGGCAAATCATCCATTAATCTTTATAAATGAAATAATTTTTTTTTACCCTTCTACTACTTACATTTTTCATGCTGCTAGATTGCACTCTAATAAGCTTCTAAGTGGGTTATATAACAAATGTATTCCAATGAACTGAGAAAATGAGAGAAAGGGAGAAAGCCATTTGACTAACTCTGAGGTGTTATCTGTGGGGTAAAATATTTGGTTTTGCGCTCAGCATGTTCAGCTATAAACCCCACTTCACAACCTATGTTCTTCAATATTTTAAAGTTAATACCTACAGAATCATTCCCCAAGAGATAATTCTCGTTGTTCTCAAATGCTCTTGTATTTTCAAATATCTGGGGGCTTGTCTGCACAAGGAAAGTGAGGAAGCTGAGGGTAAATCAAATAAATTTAAATCCTTTAAGTGAGATTAAGATGCTGGCAGGAAAAGTGAGAGTATTTCCATGGGGGTTTAATATTCTTTAGTTTGTAGAATAGAAAATAAAGAATGTTTGAAAGAATGTCTATTCTGTTCCCCTGCTCCGAGGAAGGATTAACTATTTGCATTGATTTGACTTAGAGCGAGTCTTCTCATTTCTTTCAAGTCTACTGTGGTAAAGTGTTACTGAAAACAATCATCTCTCCACAAGATGAGTTTATCACACGAAACTCTCCTGATCCACAATTTACACTGCTATGATGTTTAGAGAATGATTTTGCACCTTAAATGTCTGGGTCCACTTTACTGTCCCTTGTGACTTTATTTTACAGAGAAGCAAATTCATAATGGTGTTGTCCATTCTACAAAGGCATTTTGTTTTTGTTACTTTAGTCGCTAACAAAACAAATTACTTGAGTGGAGGCTGTAGCCATTAGGTGTCGCTTGGTATTGTCTAGAGAGAGGATAGCTTACAACGTTTTCTGATCGAAACCTTGTTTTTCTCATACTTGTCTGAATCTGATATTAGCAAAGTGAGGAAAAAAAAAATTCAATTGGTTGAAGAAAAAACCAGCAGACCTTGAAGAAGGAATGGTTATTCAACCACTTGATTGACAGATGCTGTTGACTGTCAGTTGGTCTAGGGGGTTAACTTTACCAACACCACCAAGTTCAGCTCAGTTAATCCTAATACTTTTCCTACCACAGTTACCCATTTAGTAGTCTTCTACTTGCCCAAGTAGCCATCCACAGCCTCTTCTTGCCTAGTCTTTTGTGTCTATGCCTTTTTTTCTCATCTGAGATTGTAAAATTTCCGAGGAAAATTTCTAATCTCTCTTATGAGAGGATGTAGGTACCTTTACTTTGCTAACACTTTATGGGTGATCAAGTTGAATGAACTGTTTCAGGAACATTTCTTCCATGCAAATAGAAGTGGCAAAAGTAGTTCTTGGGTTTTTTTATGAAAAAAATAAAAGCATTTGGTATGATTCTTTGCATATGTCTGAGTAGGATAAATGCTATACAAAAGTGAGAAAAAATTTGAATGACTTTATTAAGAAATGCTGACGGTTGTGGCAGAAGTTGCAAGAGAAGCAACATTCTCCTGAGCCTGTTCCCCTCTGCAGTCTATTCATACCGTACACTGCCAAACTCTGTCAGGTGCCCGCAGCATCCCTGGCAGCTGAAAATGAAAAATTTTGAGTGTTTTGAACTTGTGAGGGGTCAGTTGAGAACTTTTTAGCTCAAATGTCTCAGCAACAGCGATATAGCAAGTATAGGAAAAATATTTAGCTTCAGTCACCCTCAAACTTGCGTATTCACCTATGTGATAAAACGATGTAGTACACATTGCTCTTTAATGACAATAATAATAGAAAAAAGAAACCCATCTAGCAGAACTTGCTGATTTAATGCCTACCCTTAGCTCCCGCAAGAAAACAACTTTGTTTTTTGAACTGTAACTGTTTTCACACCAAGCACAAGAGAGGCTTGAGAGGGAAATGTTCATGTAAGGAAGGATGTAGCTGTTATCCAGACATGTGAATTTAATGATTGTTTCCTACAGGTGTTTAGGGCACACACATTCCATCTTGGTCTCCATGTCACTTCTAAATATGTTTACTCTAGGCCATTCTTTGCTTCGAATGGACCATTTTCTCTACAGTTCATTTAATGGTTCAACATGCTGTCTGTATGTGTAATGTTGATACAGAAGGTATTGTTTGCATCCATTTTGCTGCAGCTTTTGATATTGTAGTGTGATAAAAAACTACTGTGGTATTTTTCCTTTGGTATATGCATGTAGCTTTTTATGAATTCTGTCTGATTTTTGTCTTTTTCAATTAAAACTCTGTTTTTTCCTGTTTCTTGAATTATCTGAAAAGAAATGTGGGCACTGATACCCCTTTTCCTAGCAAAGCTGGAAGCAAGCAGTGATTCTTGATGAGAGAGACAATGCAAACCACTTCTCTTGATTCGTGTTAACACTAATATGTTTGACTCGAACTCTTGTTCCTCTTCCAGTTTTGTTTTATTTTATGAATCTTTGATCTTTAGAGTTTACAGTTAGCTGCTGTTCTCTTTCTTTGCAGATGCCAGTGTATTACTACCCATCTGGTCAGTACCCTACCTCAACAACTCAGCAGTACAGACCCATTGCCTCAGTTCAGTACAACGCACAGCGGAGTCAACAGATCCCACAGACTGCACAGCAAGCAGGTATGTACATCTGTTACTCATTTCTTCAGCTGCTTGCAGTGCCTTTGCTGGTGAAATCTACTGGTTGTGTTTTAATTGAACAGTGGAGAGGAAAGCTGGTCACTGTTCTGTTTGAAAATACGATGAAAATTACAAATTAGGAAACGTTTTGCTTGGACATACCAAGCAATGGAAGAGCAGAGATTGCGTTCTCCACCCCTGCTGTCCTCCGTGCAGTGCCATGTCCTCAGTGTCCATGCTCCGTGTGATGGGGCAGAGAGAGGGAACTGGTGTGGGCAGTCACATTGCATGTTCAAGTCAACTGTTGTGGTAGCCCTTCATCGTGGAAACTCCTCAAACGTTTATATGACTCTACATAGCAGACAGGTCTTCAATGATGCAGAAAGGGCCAGTTGTGCTCCACCACCTTCTGCTCTCCCTGAGCGTGAGGAGCGGCAAGATTGTCTGTGTAGTTGGTGCCCGTGGGGACCAGTTTCCCACAGCGACGTGCGGCTGGAACGGGGGCCGTTACACTGTAAGAGAGTGAGTAGCAGGTCTCACAGTGAACCGGTCTCTTTTCCTGCTGTGTCATGTCACTCCAGATGACTCCAGAGTAAGAGGGACATGGGGAAAACTGGGTTGGTGTGTGTCACAGGAGAGCAGGAACTGTGGTATTGAGGGAGTCGCTCTCATTTCAAGGCAATAAACAATTCTGGTGTTGGAGATTTTTTTGAAGTTGTTAAGTGTCTGTTTCTTTATCACATACCTCCCCCTATAGGGTGTCCCAAACAATAACTCCAGGTGTATGGTGGGGGAGGTGAAAGGGAGGGTGTTGCTTTCCCAGTAGGACTTGCAATTACAGACGTACCAGGTAGGACAAAGCATTCACTGTTTGATCTCAGGTTGGCAGAAACCCTTCTGAATGGCAAAGCAGATTCCCTGCAAAGGCACTGATGTGAAAGTCATTTAAGATGCAAGTCAAGAGCCCAGACATGAGATGTGAGCAGGTCATCCAGCCTGTCAACCTGTCTCCATAATGTGACTGCTGGCAATTTTGTTCCACTCTCTCAGGCACTCAGGGAGACAAAGACACAGCAAACACAGCTCTAACTAAGCAATTGATTACTTTTTTTTATGCTGTTCTGTGTTCTAATAAAATTGGTGACATTTTGGTTGGTGTCAGTGGTGACTGACTGTGTCTGCTTTCATATCTTCATGTTATACATTCCTGAGAGAGAAGAGGGTGAAGTATTGCACAAAGGTCATCTGTCTCTTCTAGCTTCTCCTGCCTGACAGTCTGGTATCATATTTATTATCTCTGTATAGTGGGTCTGTGAACCTAAGTGCAAATCAACTTAGGTGACATTAACTGTATCTGCTGTGTTGTTATGAAACCATATTTATCAGTTTAATGCTACATCCATAGCACAGTGGAGATTATGGTAAGTGCAGTCCACAAGAGATGGTCTGAAGCACGTGAGTGATGTTCTGGAGAAGATCCAGCTGTTTGATCTTGAGGAAATCGTATTTTAAAGATATATGGTAGCACAGAAGCTCTTGTATTTGAGTACAGACAATGCAGAGATGCAAATGCTAATTTTGTTTCAGTGTTTACTGCATCGTTTTCCTTACATGTTTGGAAAACATGAGTCAAAGAGTTTGTGTAAAATCTCTAGCGCATCAGTCTTTTCCTGCAGTTCGCTCTTTCAGCTGCCTACTCAGTTGGAAGCATTATTTTTATCTCATGTTTAAAAATGAAAACATTGTGACTACTGTTTAGACTCCCTGCCGTGGTGATGATAATAAGTGTTTAGCTATTCTCAGATCTTGAGACTTGGTTGAGAACAATTCCGCAAACTGGTTCATCCCTTTGGCCTCAGATGCATCCTTTCCCATAGTCATTGTCCGACCATGTGATATATGTGAGAGGATGAAGCTTGCAGTTTCCTACAGATGGTGTAAGGAACGTTCAGATTTGTGTTCAACTGCAGCCATTGGAATTTGGAGAATAAATAGCTTTCCAGTATGTCACAGGACAATTAAAAGTATAGGAAAGCATACGCTATAGATTTCTTGCAGGTGGTGCACTGTGAGCGCTGAGACATCAAAAACCCAAATGATTCAATGATAGTTTCAGATGGTTTCATGCCTGGTATTATCACTGCATCTGCTTTTCTTACCATCAGCCTCCTCACAAACATTCATTTTGTTCCTTATGTGCCTCAGCTCACCTGCAAACTCCTCATCTCTTTTGACTGCTCTTAGATGCCCAGTAGCTGCTTGCTGGGCAAGAGATGGTGTTTCACCATCACAGCAGATTGACTGGTGGCACCTAAATGGCAAGTAGCTTCTGGCTCCTGCTGTAGCCTGTTGTCAGTAGGGCAAGTGAGCTGGGTTGCATCTCTCTTCTTTCAAGACATTGATTTTTACAAACCTGAAGAAATGTCATATCTTTGAAGATTTCATCTCTCCATCAAATGTGATAGAAATTAGAAGATGAACTCAACGGTATTTTGAGGGTTGTTTGAGGAAACCTAGCAGAGTAATCACACCAAAAAATCCTTTTAAATCTTTGTAGAGACTTGTGTATGACCAGCAAATAGCAATCCACAAGCAAGTGTTTCAGAGTGTAGTTTTCCTTCCCACACAGACTTAGCTTTAGATCAGCACGTGAGGAGCCAGGGATAACCAGGGACAGGAAAAAGAAGACATGAAGGACAATAGTGCTGGTGAAATAGAGTTCAGGGCAGGAATATTGAGGATGGGAAGAGTAAACAGATGGAAAGGAGGCAGACAAAAAGATGATTTCTGAAATAGTTTCCCCAAAGACCTCACATCACTTGCTGCTGCTTCAGAGAGAGGACAGCTGTGGTGCAGGCAGGCCCATGAGAGCCCCAGCTGGCTGCCTGTACCTGCCAGCTAGCTCATTTGACAGCATGAGCAAGGAAGCAGCTTCAGCCTGGCAGCTCAGAAAACATTTTACTAAAATAAAAAAAGTTTGCCTTCTTGGAAGAGCTTTTGGAAGCTTCCAAAGCAAAGAGTTCAGATCTCACTTTCCCCACTTTGGGATGCAGAGGTCAAAGTTTGATCTAATGCCAGCAATTTGTTTTCATTTTTGTTAGAAAAGGTCTCTTCAGGAGTGAACCAATATTGATGACTTTTACAGTGAACAGCTAAAGTAAAATGTCAGCAAAGCATCTGTAGTGGCTGAGGGAGCCTTTACTCTCTCGTGGCTCTGGAAGCAGAGCAATATTGAGTTTAAATGGCTCCAGGGCAGAAAAAAAGATGAGCTCACCTAAAATTAGATTAGAGCTCTGGCAACAATAAATCATTGGAGAGAAGGATGAAAACATTTTGTGTGTTTATTTACCTTTTCTATTTTTATTTTTATTTGCTTAAGTGCTGGCTTATATGAGAACCTAAGTGACCCATTTCTGGCAGAAGCCTAGTACAAACAGTGTCATCCATGAAGATTTTATGAAAACCTCTGCCATTTTTGAACTGTGTTCATTTCTCTTCAAGCCAAAATGTGGTACCTGACCATGTGGTGTCATTGTCTGTAAACAGAAGTAGATTTGTTTCACTCAGATGCATGCCATGGTTGCTCTTCTTCATTACGCTTCTTCTGCACCATTCTTGTGTCCAGTCCTGCTCAATGGAAAGTTTTTAAAAATGTTGCCATTAAGTGGGGCCAGGGTTGAGCTGGTGTCTGTCACACACCATGGCATGTGTAGGACATCATAAGTGCATTCTTAAGGTGTGTTCAGGCAGGTATTCTCAAAAACAGTATGCTCATTTTTCAAACATTTAGGTATGTTGCTGTTATTAATTTCTCCACTCTGTAAGAAGTGATACTTGAGATACTGTGAATTCCCCAGTTTTGTAACCTCACAGAAGAGAATATTATTTCTGTATTCGCATGTAGCAGTATTCTGTAAATTGTACATCCTCAGTTTTTCATTCTTCAGTAATTATCTCCATATTGATAGTTTTGAAAGCTTTCAATCCTAGTTATTGTGTTTGAATAGAAAAACAGAGGTGTATTGATGATAAATCCATAATTATTTTTATTTTATCATGATAATAGAAATCAGCAATGTGTTATTTTATATCTGTGTCTCTGTTTTCTTTCATTATAGCAAATGCTGTGCACTTTGAGGATTTTTAATCTCTGAAGTGCTTCAGAAACATGAACTGGATAAATACATGAGTATTACCTTGGGATGTGCAACTGTTCTTACTGCTGTTCACAAATGAACAAGCTGCAACATATTACATGATTTTTTTCCTAGTTTAGTTCATTATTGTAGGTTTGTGTCATGTTCCAGGTAATTTTGGAGGGCAACAAAACTTTTAAGGATAAAATAGTATTTATATTATTAAAATAATATTTATATTATTATTATCTTGTTTGGGCCTAGTTCTAAAAGACTGTTAGCTTGGTTTATCACACCGTTGTAAGGTAAAAGTCTGTGGTGTGTGTTTTGCATCAGCAATGAAGATCATCTTTTGAGGAAATTAAAGCTAAAATCTGTAGTACTCCTATAGTAAATCTTCCAGCCAAAAGTTTACACTGCAATATTTCCAGACAAAAATAAGATGCTATTTAGCATAATTGGTTGTTCTGTAATTCCTGTCATTAATGTAATGATTTTAGGATTTCTCATGCATTCAAGAATCAACAAATGTTGCCATTATAACCTGTTTCGGTGCCCAGATAGCATGAAAAGCTCAGACAGCATAGAAAATCTCTGCTTTTTCCTAAAAGCAATATAGTTGTTTTGTGTACAGTAGGCAAACAAAGTCCTTATGTGACGAAAGTATATATCTGAACACTGCCTGGGTGTAGAATCCTTTCTTAATCAGTATGCATGGATCTTCTCTAAGCAGAAAATGTTTGTCTTGAAGGAAAGGTAATATTTCTGATGGACTACTGTATTATTAGCCTTTACAGCTTACAGTAAGATAAAAGAGGTAATTGTCTCTTTAATGCATCTCAGAAGCAAATTTTAAGTGAAGAC